CACCTTATTGGCGAAGGTAATCAGATTTTGTCACACCTTATTTTTATTACCATATTTTATTGATTCAATAGTTATAGCATGATCAATGAAGTAAATTCCGCTGACCAATCATCACAATTATGGAAGCAAAAGCGGTTTATTTATATGCTGGGCGCTTATACGATTATCATGGGTGCACAATGTGCGATTATTACCTTGTTGGCACAAATTCTCATACCCCCTTTCAAAAACTTGATTGACGAGAAGCATGTTGGGCTATTAGGAGCGATTATGTTATTTGTAGGATTCCCGGCTAGTATATCAGTTGGTTTTTACCTAGATCGGACTTTGCACTATCGGAAAGTGTGTCTCATTTTATCAGTCCTGACAGCGCTTAGTGTGTTAGGTTTGTACTTGTCAACAGAAGCAGGATTCCTACAAGGTGTTGTTATATCATGGTAAAGTCTTCTGCTATTATTTTTAAAACAAAAAGTTACATAATCTAATATCTCTCTTGTTTTATAGTGTTTGTTTTGGATTATCGTCATATGGTAAAGGAAATTTAAAAAAAAAAAAAAAAAAAAAACTAATAGCAATCACAGCCATTGCGCCTGCATTTTTTCAATTCGCGAGTGAATTATTTTATCCAGTTAGTGAGATTATACCCACAGGTTATTTGTTTACGGTTGGAAATATTGGAGGTGTATTTTTTGTGGCAGTGATGGGTTGGAGTGAAAACATGACGGTCAAATTTCCTATGCGGTTACCAATGCTATGGCTATCAATTACAATGTTCCTAAGTGTGTATTGTATGTCGCAAGTAAAAGGATCCTTGAAAAGGACAACGCATCAACAATTGCATTTACCATAATATGTATATATCTTACACATAGCCATGTATAACATACTTTTTTTTATTCAGTTAGAGAACTATACTGGCTTAATCAATAATAAAAACAAATTGTTTGTAATTTACAATGCTACTTAACTAATAGTTTTAGATATTTAATTGTCATGATCACCAAATCAACAGCTATACTAAAAAAAAAATTTAATCCACGTCGACAAATCAAGTCGGACAGAAGTTTAATTCAAGGACGTTTCTCCAAAATCGATTTGTACAACTGCAACAATGACCATTTACATACATGGTCTGCTTGATTTTCTATTGTTTGTTTAGATATGAACCACTTGACAGGAAGGATCCGTAGTACTACTAATATAAATTATAGTATTCAAGAGTAGTAATCTGACGAAAATTTTGTATTCTTTTTTTTTTTAAAAAAAATTGAGAATGGGTGTGATATTATAATACTTCATTACCGATAATTCTATAATTACCCACGATGTATACTTGTACAATAAAACGCGACAATGTAATTCTGCTTACAAACTAAACTTTAAATTTGGCAAAAGTAACTTTTTCTCCATTGTGAAGCTAATCGTTTACGCGTAAACCCGGTTTTTATGTTGAAATCGCTCATGAGTTCAATTCGATTTGTGCTCATTTTGTGTTCAATCCTGTGTAAGGTTGTATCGAGTCAAGCAAATGACTCGTTGTGTTTGGTCACAAGTGGGTTTCGGTGTGTACAAGATTCACGAAACGCCACCATATTAGTGGTTAAATGGTTGAGTAATTATTATTGCCTTTTGGATGTCATGGAATAAGATGATACATAACGCGTCATTTTTTTGTAATTAGTATGACAACATCCTAGACATGATCAATAGCTAAACCCGAATTTAAGGGAAGAAAGAAAAAATAAATAAAAAAAAAAACGGGGTCATTTATTTTAAGAAACCCAAATCAAACATTGCAAGCTTTGCATGAAAAAAACTTGATTGTGATACAAGTGATATACAAATTATTTGACCTTTTACGACTTTAAAAAGGGGGGGTTTCAATTGGTTGCAGAAATTTCACTGTGACGGGTGAGTCATTTCCCATCTCAGTTGGACCTGTCAAAACTATAACGCTTTGTTGATAAACAAGGAAAATCACGAGCAATATAAATACAATCAAGAAGCTTATCAGTCCATCTTATGTATTACTAAAATACCGTATAATTTTTGAACACTAAAAATAAAACTAACGGGGAAAATCATTGAAGCTATCAACCGATATCATCTTGGCTGACTTAATATATATATTTTTTTTTTTTTTTTTTTTTTTTAGAAAGCCCGATATGAATATTTCAACCAAGTGAAAGAAAGAATTTTACTTTTTGCACCTTTTTTACCCATTTATCTACTAAAAAAATTATATACCTAGCCAATTATGCTAAAAAAAAACCTTGGTGAATTTAATAGACGTGCAGATCACATATCCGATGCAACAAACAAATTTTTCGGTCAACAAGTACCGGACTATATCAAGACTTTACCCAGCATAAAAAAGGATTCCATAAGATGGGCGGCTAATATATTATATTTCGGTGCTGGATTGATGTACTACTGGGCTGTAAGTGCAGTCTTGAGACGAATGCCAAACATGGAGCAATTCCCCGCTAACGTGGCTGGAATGATCGTTCTGTATTTTTTGTTGATGTGTGCTCGTACCGTTTTACCAAAACAAACAGACAATCTGGTGAAGTTTATTGATCCCTATTCGTCATTTGCATTGAGGAGCATGAATGTTATGTTTGTACCTCCTGTTGTACTGATTGTCAACAATCCACCAACTGCAGGACCAGAAGTCGGTAGAATGATTTGTGTTTTCCGTACGTAAAAAAAAAAAGCCAGAATATATAAAAGACAAAAAAAAATAGCATCTAATAATTTCCTTTTATACGTCTTTCACGCAGTTGTGGGATATTTCGTGGGGTTTACAATATGCACTCTTATAGTGCGATTCTGGAAAATGGTGCTATACGGTACCTGTAACCGACACAAGCAGGCACCTCATCTGCCGACGAGTGAAAAGGTTAAGATGCACAAAAATAAAACTTTAGAAGAAGAAGAGGTCCATATAGCAATTCCCCCGGGTCCTACTGATTTAAGAAAATTTAATTCTACCGTCAGTGCACCAGGAGTAGTTCATCAAGTATCCAACGGTGCAATTTCTTGTGCCAGTACATTACCAGGGGGTTCCATCGCTTCCGCTCCTGAACATGAAGAGCCTGACCATAACACAGACAACAATCGTGTTGTGTATGAACGTTATAAACCAAGACAGAAGCACGGTCCGTTACATGTCTTTGCTCTTTGGTGTATGGACCAATCTACGTTTGATGATCTCACAATGTTCATCATATTTTGTATCTGTGCATTTGTTTTCTTGCCACTACCTGCAGATAGTCCAGCGCTGCCCTTTTTTAGACTGTTCCTATACCTTACCATGACCTTATTGTTATATTCTGCGTCATGTAGACTTCCTGCTAAAGTTAGACTTGTCGTGCATCCGATCATTTTGACAGCTGCTTGTGTCATGGCTGGTATTGCTTATTTCGAACAGGTCAAGGGATCAAATATTCATCAAGGTGCCAATCTTTATAAAAACGGTGTTACATTTGTATCGCTTGTAGAAAAAACCAATGTCGCTTGGCCAGGTGCTGGTGATATACTTTCGGCAACAATGGATGTTTCGATTATCTCTATGGCTTTCAATGTATACAAATGTAGACCCGATTCATTCCGTGAGGTAAGAGAGAATTTCTCGGTTAAGTAAGAGTAAAAAAAAAACAAATCTAACATATGGCATGCTGTAGTGGATGATAGTGTGTTTTTCTGTCGCCCCAATGGCATTTCTGGTTATGTTTGTTACGCCATTGTTTGCTCATGGTATTGGATGTACTCCTGCAGATAGCATTGTTTGGAGCTCCAGATCTGTTACAACTGCCATTGGTATGGTCATCGGTAACATTCTTGGCGCCAACCAAAGTGTAGTTACATGCATCATTGTTTTCACTGGTATTATGGGACCTCTTGTTGGCCCTACGCTTCTAAAGCTTGCTCGTGTTAAAGATGGTAATGTATTGTTAAATTCACTTAAAAAAAAAGTTTATCTTGTTCGCTAATCATTTCTCTATTTTCAGATGATTTCATGACCATTGGTATTACTATGGGCAGTAACTCCCACGGGGTAGGTACGGCATACCTCATTAGCAAAAATCCTAAAGCAAGCGGCTTGGCATCAATTGCCTTTGCATTGTTTGGTACCATAGGTGTTATTGTTGCCTCTATTCCAGCCCTATCGCAAACCGTCAAACATCTTGGAGGTTATTAATACCCCTTACGTATCCCTTCATTCATTCACATACTCTATTATGCATTTGCTCTAATATTATTATCATACTTGACATACTTATTCTCTTTCACCCTCAAAAATTGTTTTGTAATTCTTTCTCCTACATATTAAAAACGACTCTTACATGTAAGAAGTGTATGGCTTGTTTTATAAGATATAAAAAAAAAATCTATTCACTAGATATTTGAATTAGCCAAATAGGTTATATTGTATTTGCGTGTAAATACCTTTTTTTTTTTAAAAAAAAAAGTTTAACAGCAATACTAATAATACGACACGATCTTTTCATTTTTAATTCAGGCCTTTAGAAGCGCCGAAGAAGTAGGCAATAGTTTCCTAATTTTTATAACATTGAGGTTTCAAGGCAAATAGTCTGATACAAGAAATTTTAAAGATCTAAATACAAATTTGGCAATAATGTCAATTTATGAAACATGTGGGAGCCTTGTGATTGCCTCGCTTTATTTGAAACAGTGACCACTACACAGCTTCATTGTCTAATTTCACTTTATATTGCTGCTGTACCGAACATCCTAAGCATGTGAGACTTGGTTTTTGATATATTAAGATTATGATTTTTTCATTGGTCGTGGTTGCTTATACATGCCTTGTTAAATAGCACTATAAGATGTAGTGTTGCCATGCGGTTATAACAGTTGTTGCTTACTAAAATGAAACATCTCTATTTTGACTTTTAGATTGCATCGATCAAAAAATTAAAACATTTGAAACAATCAATCGAAAACACTATCATTACCATGAAAATTAAATCATTTTCTCACACATGCTTGTTCAATAAAAACAGTTTTACATAAATTTATGACTGTAGAAACTAGAATTTAATCTTTTTACCTTGCTGAACGATGCAGAACGCCCGCGTAATCCTATTTTATATAGAAAATAAAACGCATCGCAGTAATTACAGATCAAATGAATCGATCTTCATTGTTTTGTTTCAAACACTGCAGTTGTTTATTTGATAAGGCACACATAGCATTAAATGACAATCATTTTCCCCATTTTTTTCTTTTTTTAGATAGTTTTTATTATTGTTATGGTCTGCTGGGACAAAGAAATTACCGAAAAACAATGAGAGGGGGTATTTTTAGAAGAGCCAGCCACCCACTACATCACGAACAATATCCCTCTTCCTTTTAGAACCATCCATGCCTCTACGGTCAGCTTGTTCACCACCTGTTAAAAGATCGCCCAAACTCCACTGTTTTGTTGCGTTTTGAAGTAATCCTTGCCAGCCCTTGTTCTCATGATGATCCTTATCAAAGCCATGGCTACCCAACTGAGCAAAAGCCAACTGGTTGGGTTTAGTTTGATCCAATTTTCGCCACACAATCAAAACATCTCGAATGTTTTCTGCGGGACTCAGTGTCATTGCCATGGAGAGTACATCTAAGCGTCGATTGATATCTTCAAAGGCTTCCACCTTTCCAAGATTAAGACAACTATGCCATGCGGCTTCATCGATTTCGTTGTTATAACTTTTTGACTTGCCAGCAGTCTTTTGGTTTTGTGCAGCATCTACTGTAATTTGGCACAAGTGATAGGATTCGATATAATCTTCCTCCACAAGTGCTGCATTCGCCAACATCGCAAGCGCTTTCACTTTGGCCAACACATCATCGCCGTAACCTAGCTTGCGAACCAACGCCAACACTTGTTCGTGTCGACGGTACATGTCTCTTTTAGCGAAAATTAGTTTAGATATCAGCTCAAGTCGGTTTTTGGATTGCCTGATTTGAATTGGCATGATGGTCATTCCCGGTCGATCTTGCACCTTGTACTCATAAATCAAGCTATGGGTCGCCTCAATCAAATCCATTTCCTTTTTAATTTCTGTCGTGGGTGGTAAGATCTTGAGGCAATCCCAAGCTTGCTTCATACTACCCGCGTTCATATTGCCTGAAGTAGCATTATCAAAAAATTCACGTTCAGCATCTATCACTAATTTTTCGGCCTTTGTAATATCCATGATCTTTTGGGATCCTAAAATCAAATCTTGAGCAAGTTTAAAACCTAGTTCATAAAATAAAAAGAGGATATTTAGTAGGTGCCTGAAATCCATTTGAATTTTTTTTTCAGGTGTATACTTTACGTCCACATCTTAACAAGGAGCTAAAAAAGATCTCCAAAATCTCTGCTGAATCCAACTTTCCAAAAATACCTTCACCTTCATCACGCAAACGAAGCATATCGTCTAGTAATTCGCGCCAATCATCATCACGATCGAATTGAGCTCCACCAGATTCTACTCCGCCAGCTGCCTGAGAGGACATACGAATGCATAATTGACGTTGAGCTTCTATAGTTTGATCTTGCAAGTACCAACGCAAAGGTACACTGGCATGATATCTAGCCAGAACTTCGGCTGATCCCAAATGGTTTTGAAGGGTATCCATCATTTGGGTCAATCCAAATGCACCGACATTTTGAAGTTCTAAAAATAAACCCAAGGGTGTGCTTGCCAATGCGATCATATCAGCCATATCAATAGGCTCATTGTCGTTCTCCACAATGTCGGAGAAAATGGGTAGACATTCAAAAAGACGTACTAGATACTCCATTGTTCCATCACTGGAGTAAACAATAGCCAATACAAGTCTGGACAAATCCAAATCGTCTTTGATGATACGATCTTCTACTGGAATGGATGGCTTGGATTTTTCAATAACAGAACAACACCAGTCCAAATGATGATCTCCTACAGCTGTCTCCAGTAGCCAACGATAAAGTAATAAATCAGTCTTGTCCGTTGTTCCTTTTCTCTTTTTGGATACTTCAATCCAAGGCAATGCTAATCTCAACATATCGTCAACAATAGAAGCACTATCTGTATTACTTAACAATCCTTTCAAAACTTCATAGCTTGACATTTGCTGGAATTTTTCCAAATCAACAAAGGTATTTTCGGTAAAGGATGTTTCTGAAGAATACACGTATTTACATAGCCATTCATACTCGGATATTTGGTTTTCTATTCCTGTCACACCCATGACTTGTGCATATCGAATGATCTCCAAAGCAGTGCTACTCAAACCAATCTTATCTGCTGCACGGGCCCGATCTATATACCAATCCGCAATCACTTTTGCAGAGGTTGGGTACTCGGTAGTTTGGATACTGGCCTCTAAACGATTTAGATAATCTATCTCTTCCGCCACTTGTAGGCGGATCATCTCTTGCACCCAATCCTCTTCCACAATATCCTGTTCTTTACGCCATGGTTCTTCAAGCCAAATATCTTCATGATCATGCGTGACGTGTGGTAAATCAAAGCTACTTGGATCCGCTGTTTCTGGAATTTGAGACAAAATAAACAGCCTCTGGGGTAATACATGACGGCCATGATGCATAAATATGGCATCGAGAGCAACATGGTTTTCAGAACGAGCAAATTCTAAAGCTTGAGCAGTTAAATTGACGTCGCGGAATTCGGCGAAACCTGTTGCAAATGAAGTGTCTTCATTTTCTGAAGTAAGACTGGGCCAGATTTTATGAAATGTCTCTAAACGGTCGGAATACTGAAGAAGATAAAGTCGACTTCTTAATAAAGTTTTCTCTCTGTTTGTTAATGCGCTTTGTGGGGTAAGGTCTTTCACAATGGGTTCTGTCAGAGTTGTAATGCGTTTCAGACCAATAGAGAATATCTCTTTCTGAAGCTCCCACTCATCCACACACGTATCAAGACAAGTATTGACTACCCACGCATCGTCTTCAACAAGTTTTAAAAGTTCGACATCTTTAGTTTGTAGTTGTGGTCCGCGTTCTTTTTTATTTTATTCCATTGTGCTTTGTAAACAAGATCTTTGTCCAATTTTAGCTCGTTTGCCAAGTCAAGTGCTGCCTGGTAGTTTCCTTGTTCAAGATGTATAAGAAAGTCTCTGGTTGTAGGTTGTTCCATCTTGGATACTCTTTTGTTAGAAAAAGAAAAGTGCCGCTACAGTCAGGCTTGTAAAGGTTCGGCCTTAAACCGTAAATAAATGTCCGCTTGAAAAAAAAAGATCATATTGAAGACCTTGAACAACTCAACAGTTAAACTTTTAATACAAGCATTTGCGTTATTGAGCTCCCGTAATATTACATCTCTCTTGGTGGCTATGATTGCTCTTTTTTATACACATTATTACCAAAAAAAAAAAAAAGTCCAGTAAATATTAAGGGTACAGTCAGTTTATTATAACTTTAATAGGATCGTTTATCCCATCCTTTGGGCAAATACTTGTTCAAACTCTTGAAATGGTGAGCATATAAAAAGTTGTTACTTTTGTTGCTTCCATATAGTTTATATCTATAATTTTTAGGGCCTTTTGCTTTGCTCATGTCTTTGGAAGCAAAATAAAATAATAAAGATAAGATAAAGTTTATATAGGTAATATTCATTGCGATTAATGTGTAAAAAACAAAAAGATGTATGGATTAGGGTGAAGTAAAGAGACCACCAGAGAATTGTAAAGGACCAGAGGAGAAAAAAAGATAAGCTGTTCTATAAATTATCATAAAACTTAACCCCCAGTTTGCTGAGTATTCCCTATTCGCAGAGAATATTATGATCGTAGCTATGTGGAGACTACCATTAGAGGATCTTTGCCTACACTAACGGATTGTTGGCTTCCCAAGTCTAGAAACACATATCTATCGTGACTACATCTACACGCTCTTACCGGGCCTAGTCACGCTAGATTACTAGCTAATACTATACCGTGAATAAAAGAAGACCTGAAGAAGAACAGAAGTAGAACAGATGCCTCAAAGCCTTGGCACTTTAGACGGAGTTAAGATGGCATAGCTTTGACACAAGTTTGAGAGATTTGCAGAGTCCTGGAGGGGGTATGGCTTGACACAGGATGAGAATATTTGACGATGGTTATAGAGTTTCAGAGACTTTGGGTAACATTTAGAGAGACTTGACAAGAGTTACACGCCTTGACGAAGGTGATAAGAGTTGCAGAGTTTTGGGAGGATTTGATAATGTTTATAGAGTTAGGAAGATTTGAAGAAGTTTGTAAAGGTTTGTATATCCAGATGAGTAGTAGTATTAGTTGAAATTAAAGATGAGCGAACAAAGTATAAAGACCCTTTCAGTATTTACAGTTAAAATACATCATAAACTTCATGTGGCTCATTTTTTATTAAGAGTCATGATTACTTAATACAAATGTAAGTAACAATAAAAGTTACTTTAATTGGGTGACATTCCCAACTTACGACCGAGTGGTATAGTTAAACGTGAAGAAAGCTCTTATGACACACCCGATATGAGGTTCTTCTGCAAGAGAGGGGCGCACATAAATGTGAGTGATTTCGGGTTTTCCGGATTTCGTTTTACACTATTAGCGTTTTAAGCACGAGGTTTAGGTAATACATGAACACGGGAAGTTTGTTTGTTTGATATTCGGTTGTTTGAATGCATCATTTAATATCTTCCGATCTAATATTAAAAAAAAAAATGAACAAAGAATACAAAACTGTGATTTTTGTTCAGGGCCCTTTTTTTGAACCAAGGAGAAAAAAGAAAGCCATATGTCTCATGTTGGAATCATATGAATTTTTTTTTTTTTTTTTTTTTTTTACCATTGCATGATAATCACTTGGGTGACTATGTGAGTGATTTTTATATGCCATTGATTGCAACAACAACAAAATGGTTTCTTTTTTTGATAACAAATAGAGTGACTATCAAAAAGTTTGTTTTGTTTATAAAAGATATTAATGTCTTTTATTATGAATAATCTACCGTTTTGTCAAAACATCATGCATGGCATAATGAATGAAGTGAAGCTTGATTTTAACTAAATGTGTTAGCAGTAAACAAGTCAATACCATATCAAGCATAAACAGATAAATAATCAAAGTTTATTAACTTTCTGTAATCGGACGTATGCATCCCAGAGCACAAAGAATATATAACTTTTTCAACACACCAAGAAAAAAAAAAAAGAGGTTCTCAGCGTATAAATATAAAATATGAATTTTTTTTTTTTATTACTATTTTCTTATTCTTCATCATCTCTTCTTTTTACGAATTCATATGGATATTGCATCAATCGTTACCGACTCCAAAAGCACAAAGAAAGTTCCCCGTCCTTTGAACTGTTTCATGACCTATCGATTAGAAAAGCAACGAGAAATATTGTTACAATGTCCCGGTACAAACCACCGTGATATCTCCAAAATTACGGCGAAATGGTGGAAAGAAATGTCAGTTGCAGAAAAGGAACCTTATCGTCTTAAGGCTTTTAAAGCCAAGTTTGACCACGAAAAAATGTAAGCGACTAAAGCACGCCATCCATCTTATTATATACTCATCCTTATTTAGGTACCCCAATTATAAATTTAACCCAAAGAAAAAGACGACTAAAACAAGAGCCTACAAGAAACGTACGGAGGAAGTATTTACTGCACAGGAATTTGCTCAACAACAAAAAATAGCAGTATTATACCATAAAGGTATGAAGTCTATTACACCACCTAACCCAACATTGGAATACATGCCAACGATTATCGAAAATGCAACAACGGTTGAAACCAAAGAAGATATTTGTTGCGCCACTTGTTATTCCTCCGCTGTTCCTTCCTCCACTTGCTTTTCTACTACTACTACTTCTAAACAGGCACACCCTGAAAGCTTTCATCCCGTTTCTTCTCAATCTGTGTCACCTTCTCCTTCCAGTCCATACACTGTTTCAGGTTATTACGAAGATCCCAGTCACCTTAATTATGCTCAACTTTATCCCCCGCATCATTATTATGGCTCATCGAATAGACATTCGTTAGCCTATCCTTACGAATCTTCCTTTCCACCATCCTATGCCAATCCTAATCATACATCGGTTTCAGCTCCCCCAAATAATGACTATTATACACCAGAAACAAAAAGTACAAACGATGTCCGTAGACAAGCTTTCAACCCTTTAACTCATACTACTTATAATGACACTCCTCCTCCCACCATTCTATCTCCCTTTTATTATCACCAATAGATTTGTTTTTTCTTTTAGGAGCAAAGACTTTAAAGTTTTTTTTTTCGTACACACACACACACACATATATATATATATACGCTTCTCTCTTTTATATATTAGGATTGCTTAAAAATAGAATTATATAAATACTTAATAAAAAATTTCAAATTCATCTCACTTGTATATTATTAGTAAAGAAAATCATGATGACGTTCATTTGACAGTATAAATTATGTCATCTTTATACAAATTCATTTAATTTAATAGCATATCCTGTGTTCTATCACGTCAAGTGACGTTTGCATGCATGCATCCATTAAGGGGGTTCTTCTCCTAAATCATGACACTCATTCTGTAATTGCAAGAGGTAAAGCAGAGTTGTTTCTCCATAGTGAGCTTTCTCCGGCACGAAATTGCAGTCTTTCTCTCTTTTTTCATCAGTAACAACAACAACAACTCCCCTTTTTACATTTGTTCAATGGAGCGGCAAAAAAAATAAAAAATAAAAACTTGAACCAAAAAAAAAAAAAGGCGTTTGGGGTAAAGATAACTACGCACGAATGGCAGTAACAATTTTACTGTATGTAATTTAGCAATCGTTCAAATTTTTACGCGCCAAAAAAATTAAAAAAGGATCACCACCGTCACACCACAAACTTTATAGACGATTCAAAAGGGATGACCTTCCCTCCCCCCCCCCTTTTTTTTATAAGTACCTATATTTGCTTTAGTACAATTTCATTGATAACTTTATGACGCAACCTGGATGCGATTCTTTTTTTAAAAGAGGGATTAAACGTGTCATTGTTCAAACGTGAGCTAATTCAAATCAAAAAGGTCTGCCAAATCCTTAGTTGTACAGAAACAACTTTATATGTGTCAACAATAGCTTATGTCCCCAGAGCAAAAATCTGCTTATTATGCTTGGTAAAATGGAAAAAAAAAATGCAAGTATCTATCAGGAAAAATGATGCAAAGACAACCTTCCCCCCTCACGTAAACATATGAACTAATATTACGCAACTGCGTTATGCAATGATGAACTATTAAGTGAGGAAATACTCTATTATCGTATAATTTGAAATTGCCATGTATTCATGCACATAGAAATAGTTTTAATATATTAAAATAAAAGCTTTATCATTATTCATATTCTACTTGAAATTGCATATAAAAAAACATGTTTCAAACTTCCTTTCAACCCATAAAGCATACTCAGAATAAACGCATTGAATAAAGACTTGTGTCATGAGCATTTATACGACCCATTCTATGTCCCGCTCCCTCCGCCAAAAGAAATCCAGCTATCAAACCTCTCCCTGACATGCCATTCAAGGATGTATTTGCCGTTACAGAATCACTATGCGGTCTTTACGCGTCTATTTGCAAAACCAATGCAACAAAAAAAAAACTTTTGTCACTAGCTCACTTATTATTTAAATAGTCCTTTATGCTTTTAAATGACGTAAACCTTAATCTCTGATAAAAAAAAGTGCTACTGGGTACGATTGATTGGCTTTAAAAAAGATCTGCAATACACTATAAAAAGCCGAACTTGTCAATAACCCTGATGAGAGAGAACCAGCAAAAAAAAAGCATAAGATTCATACGATAAGAACCGACGGTTTAAAGTTGCAATGAAAGCCATGACTGTAAAATTAAGGGGACTTTTTTTTTGTTGTTACAGAAACAGAATTTGAGGACTAGGGGAACACAAAAATTCAAAGCTTAAATAGGATTGACCATAAATGGACTAGTTTAAAGACCATCAAAGATACTTTTTTGGACAAGATAACCCAAACACTTGGTATAGATCATGACCTCATACAAACTCATCGTGTCTAATTACAGCTTAGAAAAAAGAGAGGGCCAATCATAGAATAGCCAAAAGAAAATGAGAGTGTTACACTTATAAGATGATATAAACTCATTCCAAATGTAAAATAAGTAACGCTTTAAACATGATGCAGATGCCTTACAGACATAGATTAAATCTAACCTTGCATCCCACAATTAATATAAACAATCTCACTTTTTTTAAGGTAGTACGGGTAATTTAATACTCCTACCGTTCAAAAAAAAAAATTAAGGTGTGTGTACCCTCCACCACCCCACCCCCTTACCATTGCTCTTCTTTTTTCCTGGGAGTAAGATAAAGTTTGATAAAACTTTGCCAATTAGACTTTTTTTTCTGTCACTCACAAGAGTGGTTTCTGTCAAAATAGATATATAAAAAAGACCTGATTTTTTGGTATGTCAAATGACAACATTTTGTCCTTTAAACAACAAACATAACCTTTTATAAATCAACGCAATAAAACGTCTCAGATAATATGCGAAACAAACATGTAAAGGTAATGGCGGTCAAGATAGAGGGGAAGGGGAGGGGGGTAAAGAAGGGGGTAGAGTGAAAAGATAGAGGTGGCGTTATAACATTTTTTTTTATATGTATATATATCATAGTGTGACTAAAAAAAAAAAGAGATTTCCGAACGTTATGTATACAAAAAAAAAAAAGAAAAAAAAAACCACAGGGCTAAAAATGATGGGTGTGTTGAAGTATATATACATAGAATAATGTATAGAAAGAGAGAGATAGAGATTGAAATTATCTCTTACTTTGTCGCTTCGTATTATTATTATTCACAGCATTGTTTCCCCAATATCTTTCATTGTTATCTTGTTGCGGAGGTAAATTATACGGATACAGTGGGTTAGATGGGGCTGCTCCACCCGATGTTGTATTATACTGTGGATACGGCATTGTATAATCAGCTGTTAATTGTGCATTACTATTATTGACTACAAATGAAGTATCAGACGCGACCATACTTCCAAAGGACTATTTACACAAACTTAGTTAGACAAAAGATACCGCAGAACAAAAAAAAAAAAAAAAAACCGCCACGTCCCTCCCCTCCTCACCATCTTTTTTTTTATTTTACCTTTCTATCCTCACTGTAATTCTCATTGCTGTTGTTGCTTACAGTAGATTCTAAACTTTGATTGGAGCGATAATAATTGTTGTTGGTACTTGTCTATATATAAATATTAATTATAAGCAGGAGGAGGAGGGAAGAGGAGGGGGGGGGGGACATGAAAAAAAGAGAGAGTGCGTATGTGTAACGTTTCTCTAATAAAAAAGAAAAATGATGCTACATAATAATAAGTGAGGGTTGTACTAACCGTAGGTGGGGATGCGGGCGCATTGTTGGTAGACATGATAGATCGAGAATTATTAGGTTGAGAAGTGCTAGGTTGATGATCAACTGTATCGAGTGGATCAGGAGCATTTAAACATGATTGGATCAAATTCTTTCCTTCTGGTTTTGTTACCAAAGGTTGCAGCTTGGGTGTAGTAAACGTATAAACGAGTCCTGTTTCAGATACTACCAAAAGTAAAACCTGGGTGCCTGTCAGTGTACTCAACTCATACGCCTTTTTATATGTGTGTGTTTGTGTGTGTATAAAATATTAATGGACCATTCTCTCTCTCTATCTATCTCTCTTTTTTTTTTTTTTTTTTTTGTACGCAATTTACCTTCTTCATGATACCAGCCTTTCTTTTTGAAAATGTAATGTGTCTTCTAGATTTATCATTAATATACTCAATCTTAATCTTTCTTCGACCAGATCTTTTATCAGGTCTCCCACTTCCATCCGAGTCATCCTCATCGCCAGCTCCTGTAGTTGTATCATCTGCAATGGGTGCTTGCATCATATACGGTTGTGGATTGGGTTGATAATAATTAGAGGATTGCATTTTTTTTAATACTTTGCAAAAATATGTGTAATTTTTTTTTCGTGCAAAGAAGGAAAGAGAAAGAAAGAGAAAAGAAAAGAAAGAAAAAAAAATGGAGAGATGGAGATAAAAAGTGTGTGAGAGAGAGAAAGAAAGAGAGAGAGAGGGGAGGAAGTGCTAAAAAAAGAAATTATTTTGCATGACGCCTTTGTGTAGCCCCAATCTGGTGAGAATAAATGACATAACACTGAAAAGAGCATCAAGAAAAAGATTGGTTTACAAAGCAGTGTATATAATTTTACATTGAGATAGTAATTATCTACCCATGACGTTTATTGTTATCATTTTAGATGGATGTACAATACTTCTTTTTCAAATCCGTTTGATAAAATGGGCGCACACATGATCTCACCCATTCTTTTTGTATATTAAAAACTTGTGCGGGATTAACTATTGTCCTACCCCAAATAAAATAAAAAAAATATATTTAGAACACTTGTAAACGCGGGAAACAGCTTTATTTTATTCAGCCTCCTTTTTTCAGTATTATCCATCGTCCTCCTTTCAATAGGTGTGTGTATGTGCTGCCAGCTATTACCATCACCATCACCATCACCACCACCACCACCAATAGCAGTGCGCGGTGGGCGTTACTATGGAAGAAATCGGGGGGATCTTTTAAAGTATACGTCGTAAACTATAATACCCTCCCATCATTAGGAGACTTACCATTAAAAGAATCTGTCAAAAAAATTACTTTTTGTTTTTTAACCTTTCTGAAACCTACAAAACATCCCATCGTGATAAGTTTTTTTTTTTTCGTTGACCGCTCGTGACCTATAAACATCCAAATAAAAAAAATAATTCAACGTGTCTTCTTTTATAAACTCAACAATGTCTGATAGAGCACCTAAAAAGAATAAACTAGTCTTTAAAGGTGATAAAGAACCAAAGTAGGTTGCCACCCTCACATAACATCCAAAAAAAGAAGAAAAAAACTCAATTTTTATTTTTAAAAAAAGAAAGAAGAAGAGAAAGCATCGTGCTACAGAGAAAGAAGAACGTGAAGCGGCCATCACCAGAGACCAAGTTTGGGTGCGCGCTGATAGTCTAGACGATCTGGTGGGTCCCTTATTCATTACGCACCCTAGCGATCCACCCATTTGTCTCACCGTGGACGACAATGATCGTTTCTTAGCTTATCCATTACCCGACCTCGACGAAGCTAACCCAGAACCCACCATTATGCAACAAGTCTTTGTCGGTTCTCGCATCGTCGGTACCACCAGTGCCTACTCTTTCAAATCAGCTAACGGGAAATACCTCAGCAGTGACAAGATTGGCGTCGTCGCTTGTGACAGTGAAGCCATAGGCGGTCAAGAGGAATGGAAACCCACCATCACCGAATCAGGTATCGCATTCGAAAGCGTGCACGGTAAATTCTTAATGATCGACGAAATTGCTGGTGGAGGTCTCAGCATTCGTGCCGACGCCGACCATGTCGGATTTTGTGAGTCTTTTAGAGTCTATTGTCAATCGCGATTCAAGTATAAACCCAAGACCAAGAAGAAGGCTTCAGACGATACTGGCACAGAGCTTGAAAACTTGTAAGTTCCCCCCCCCCCCTTATAAAAACTATTTTTTTTTTTTTTTTTGCCATTGTAACTCTTAACTCTTTTACACACACAGCAAAAAATTTCAATCGTGGGAACCAACCAAAGTCCATGAAACGTTAGATGATAGACGTGCCATCAAGAAGGCAAAAGCAGAAGGCAGATTGGCTGAAACTTTATTAGATCGAAGAGAGAAAGTAAAAGCAGATCGTTATTGTAAATAAATAAAAAAAAAAAATTATTATATACTATATGATGTAACCCTGGGTCGTCCTTGTAAAATATACCAACAAATCACATTTAAAAATTGCACTCGTAAAACTTCAACTGAACACGTCTTGTCATGAACAACAGACATTGCTTCTGTCGTCTTTACCAAAATGTCTTTTTCTCCCATTTGTCTGGCCAACACACCTAGCTCCAAAAGTGCTTCCCCCTTGTCCTTCGGTATCTGCCATAGATACACATACTTTCGTAATAGCTCCTGCGTGCTCTTCAACATCTTTTCATATCGTACCTGGATGGGCTGTTGAACTGAGGCTGAAAAGGGTCGAAAACGTGGATCCACCTGCACTTGCTCCACCAAGATCTCGTGAGCCGTTAAATATCCCATTGGACCCTCATCGACGTGTGATGGACAAAGGAGGAAACTTGAGTCACGAAAAGAGCTGGCAAGAAAAGAAAGTGCCTGTGCAATCACTTGTGGTATTTCATATTTTATTCCCAGGGCTAAATGAACTATCGGTAGACGGTGGGATCCAATCGTGAGTGATAATGGACCCTGATAAAAGAACCGTTCTAATGTATGTCTAGTCCCATGGACACTTATCTGATGATCAAAGAATTGAAGAAAGGAAGAATACAAGCTAATTTTTTTGTTTTTTTTTGTTTTGTTTTTACTTTTGTGTTAATGAATTTAAACAGCAATATCATTTTTTTAGATATAAAAATAAAATACTTGCTCTTTATCCCCAAGATGATTGAACCAATTATTTTCATAAAGTGGTAAAGCTAGTTTGGGCACCTCTGGTATACGTAGCATATCCATTTTTTGGATCGATTGTCCATACACTTTTTTTAACTCTCCGTTGGAAACTATTACAATGTTTTTAAGGGGGGGTTGTTATTTATACAGAGATACATGAGAAAACCATTTACCACCTAATTCATACAACCGAATTAAAATATACAAGAGATGATTTTGATGGTGTTTATATTCCATTTGATACAGAAGACTATTGTCTTGTATCGCCTTCAAGATGATTGCATTTTGACGTGGGTCAGGTAATATGGTCATGATTTCTTTAATTATTTGTTTAAACAAACAAAAAACAAAAAAAGCTGTATGCTAAGTCTAAAAAGAAGAAGAAAAAAAAATGTGTATGCTTTATGAAGTATGAAAAAAAAAAATTATCCTCGGCGTATACATATTTTTTTTTGTCAGGAGGGTGTTTGAGAGAGACTTTTTCTTTTTTTTTTTTTTTTTTTTTTTTTTTTTATTATTATTTGGCTTCTGTTGTTAACGGTGTTGGCGTGGATACGGTTGGTTGCTGTTGTTGCGGTGTGACAGCCACTGTTGTTGTTGAAGCTGAAGCTGAAGCTGGATCTTTAAATGATTTTATCCAACCGCTTTCTACAAAAAAGTCATATATCCTACTCGTCTTATTCACATCGATTTTAATGAGAGATCTTGCCTGTCTTCGTTTCATATACCCTTGTCTTGCATATTCCTTTAATATTGTGTCCTTAATGACCAAGTAAGGTCTAGGCATGATACGCAACGTAGAGCATAATATTTGTTCTTCTTCGGTTAATAAATGTACACCATCTGCATCCCGGATATTCAGTGGATTTGCAGGCTTTCTGCCACCAGCGGGTGCTGCTGTGATGACGGCTGTGCTGGGTGTAGCTGCAGGAGCTGCTGATGAGGATGCGTGTATTTGGGTCGGTCTATCTCTATAATAATTGGCGCCGTTGGATGGAATGAGTGAAGCCATCTGAGATCTATAGGTATTTCTTTGAGCAGAACCACTGGCGCCCAATCGTTCACTGGAGAGAGAAACAAATGTCTTTAATTGAGCCAACCTATTTTGTTTCTCTCGTTCGTACTGTTCGCCCTGTTTGATGGTAGTTAGGCCGGCCTGTCTCCATTCTTGTAAGGTCGAGATGCGATCTCTCAACTGTTGTTCCTTTACCAGACCCTTCACAAATGTCTCGTAATCACTTTCGGTCTGTAATTTACAGAACACGCGAGTCTTGTTATAGATCTCACGTTCTTCCTTCAGTCGTTTTCGGTCCATCATTTGCATGCGCTTGAAATCGAGCCACCTTCGCTCAAATATCAAATTCTTTCGCTCCATTCTACGATCCAGTCGAGAATTGTAAATGTCTAATACCATGACCTTCAGATCTATCTCCTCCTGCGTATCATCGTCATTGAAGACCATATCCTTCACAAACTGTTCGGCATCATTCTCATACTCGGTTTCAAATTCAAATCGTCGAGGCATATAGCCTTGGATTTCATGAAAGGCAGGTCCACTGGTGATGGGCTTCGCATTGTTGGGATGGGACGACGCCGGTTTACGAGGCACCAGTCCACGCGATTGCTGTAATCTCTGTCGCTTACGGTCACGGCATTGCTCTTCACTTGTCTCAAACTGAAGATGCATACGAGGTAAAGGCCAATGCGGACTCGACACATACACATCCAGATAATGTTGTTCACATTCACCACGTCCCTTTGTACCCACATAATCAGCAATCGCCTGCCAATTACCAATGCCCATCTTTTCTGCTGCTTCAATTAACAAGAGCTCTTCATCGGCATCCCAATCTTCACTGAAAATCGGAAAATTGTGCGGTTTGACGATACGATAGTCGTGCCACGTCTTGTGCTTCACAGGTTCGGCTCCTCCACAAAAGCAACTCACGCACAAGTCAAAGTCAGGGCAATCTTTATCGGCACACCGAATTCGAACCGTATTCGTCACGTCATTGGAACAGGCATCACAATGATATTTAGGTGGTTCCTTGTCATCCACTCCCGATCCTCCTCCATCTGCGTTGGTGACAGCACTTAATGTACTGCCAGAAGGTTTCTGTCGATGTGTAATGGTCATGCAATCGTTTCTCTAATCTTTTACTTTTTTTTTTCTTCTCTTTTTTTAAAAAAAAAAAAGTTAATTGCAAAAAAAAAAAAAAAAAAAAAAAATGTATGTATGTGTGTGTATATTTTAACTATTCTAAACAACCGTCCTTTTCCAAAAGCAGCCAGAAATCGAATTTTTATTTAAAAAAAGAAAAAAAAAGGCCCTGAAATATACATGATTTTTATGTGGGGGGTATACAACAAACAATAAGAGAGAGAGAGAGAGAGAGAAAGAGAGAAAGAGGTTAGAGAGAGTTAATAGTGTTGCTGTTGCCAACCTTGCTTGGATAATGTGCGTGTGGTTCTTCTAGCTTTTGCCGGCTTTTGTCCTTTCAATCGTATACAGGCTCGATCACAACATCCACCGGGCATACAGCAAGGAAACCACGACCACCAAAAACTATAACCCCACCAACAATGCCAAACACCCGGATCCAGTTCAATGCTCTTAAACGAATCCGCCGAAGACCACCGTGTACCCCGTTCATCCACCAGACTCTGATGTCCCGGGTAATTCTTTACATACGTGGAAGATAGACTGGCGATATCCTCCTCCTCTTCTTCTTCCTCTTCATTATTATACATGGTGTTATTAAATACAGTGGGTTCTTTGTTGATCGTGGCTGGCGGTGGATCCATGATGAACCCGAGTGGATCCATACCTTTTGAAGAAGAACGGAGAGACTTACGCAGATTTTTCACATGTTGATGAACCAAGAGTCCTGACAAGAGGACAAGTGTAGTAAAAGGATCATCCTCCAAAATGGCACTTTTGCGGAACGGATTTGTCGTGGTCATATCCAACACAAACGTCTGTCCATCCAATTCCCCAATCAACCTTTTTGACTCTGTCTCAAAGCATTGGAGACGATCATGAATGACCTGCCAATGATAAAATTGTTTATGAAAGCTAAATCTGAATTGGGGCGGAGTCGTGGATAGAACCACCATCATAAATCCATGTTGATAGATTAACGTCATGCCGTGCCAATCTCGGTTTGTCAGTTGCCATACTGCTTTTTGATGGCCATTATAAAATATCACCACCCCTTCTGTTGTCGTCGTTAGGGTAGGTGGCTCCAGGTAGTAGTATACCGTGTCGGCACTGGATAATATCGTATATTCCTTGTCGCTGTTAAAGTCGGTACTCGCTTGGCTCGTCTTGATATCGTACTTGGACGTCGGTGAAGAGATGTGCATCGTTTGACTCGTCATGGTGGCTGCACTGGGATAAGGATCTACAATCAAGATGGGTGTAGCTGTTGCAATGTCCACGGATGAAGACATTAGTGTTTTTTTTTTAAATAAAAAAGAAAGAGGATATATATATATATATAAAAAAAGAGGTGGTACAATTATCATATTTATAAACCAAGAAAAAAAAAAAAGGTTTTAAAACAAAAAACAACGGTCTTTTAATCGAAATTATATATTTTTAGAGGCAATGGTTGATTTACAAGATATATGAAAAAAAAAAAAAAAAGAGAGTTTGTTTTAAAAAAGTTGCAAAAGACAAAAAAAAATATACATGTCTTTTATGTTTTTCTTTTTTTTTTTTTTTAATATATATTATAAAATATTTTAGATGGAATCTATTTAAAACAGACATGTTTAGTACAAAAGCAAAAGGCTAAAATGAAAGGATTATTTTTTCTTACCAGTGATCAACTTGTTCAACTTGGCAAGCTTGGCAGAGACAGTCAAATCGATACTCTTATCTCCAATCTCAACCATGATACCACCGAGAATATCGGGCTTAACCTTGTTGGAAACAAGGAGCTTCTTACCTTCAGAAAGGGTAGACTTTTGAAGAGACTCAACAATCTTGTTCAAGGTAGCCTTATCCAAAGCCTAAACATGAAAAGGAAACATTTTCTTTTTTAGTTTCACAGCGTACTAAAAAAAAAATTATCATGTACAATTCATCATTCATTATTTTACCTTGGCAGAGGTGACAACAAGAGGTAATTCGTTACGGTGAGCACTCATCAATTCCTCGAAAGAAGCAATGACCTTGGTGGTTTGGTTCAAACGACCGTTCTCGGCTAAGGTCTCGAAGAAGTTTTGGGTAATTTGGCTGGGAGATTTACCTAAAACAGCGTTGATACCTTCCATCTTGACAGCACGGTTGACAGTGGGGTTTTCCAAGAAGGCTCTAAGAGTAGCATCCTTCTCAACAGCCAAGTTAAGAGCCTTGAGATCCTTCTCAACAGCCTCGAGGGTGTTTTGACGGGCAGCGGCAGTATAAAGAGCAGTGGCATAACGACCATCAAGACCGAAAAGGGTGATAGGAGCCTACTCTTTTTTGTTTAGTCTCTCTCTCTTTTACTCTTTCTCTCTCTCTCTATTTTTTTTTTACCTTGACGGAAGCAGGAGCAGCATAACCACGAGCAAACTAACAAGAAATAAAGAGTACATTAGCATTTTTCTTCCAAAAAAATAAATGAAGAAAAAAAAAATAAACAAATGCCACCCCCATGGCGACAAAAGTTTCAATCATGTCAATGGTCTCGTTCGTCCATGGGCAACTCGTCTATGCTTTTTTTCTTTTTGTTTTGTTTTTTTTTACCTTGGGGATGGAGGTAGTCAAACGGGTGAATCTAGAAGCCATTTTACTGATTTATATAATTTATAGAAAAAGAGTGAGAATAACTTTTTTTTTTATTTTTTACCCTCTTTCCGTTTTTTTTTTTATTGCACCCCCTCCCCGCAAAAGTTGTCAGGGCCAGTTGAAAAAAAAAGATTCAACTGAAGCTAAATATTTTTGATGACGTATTCTCTCACATTTTTTTTTTATTTTCGCGCGCGCAGCGGCAGGCGGGGTCGATTGTATTGAATCCCCGCTATAGACGTTGCCCGCATGTGTATAGTGGCCTATTTATTATAAACACCACCTATTGCTGTATCAAAAAAAAAACACACACACTTCTTTATTATTTGATGTTGTACAGTAAAATAAAAATTATGATTGCCCATACAACTTATAATCTATATTTAATGCCCATCACATGGAAAGCGAGCTTCATGATCCTTGATATAGTCCTCAAGACCATTCTTGACCATGGACGCGTAGTATTTCTCGTTACGGAAAACCGAGTATGCACACCAAAAAGCATGATCGCATGCATCCTTTAATATGCCTCCTTCAAGGATAGGTACTTTAGGGTTGGGTTGGTTTCCTGCGTTTCGGGCTGAAGCCACTACATCATGCCTATAAAAATAAAAAAAACGAGGATGAGTTATATACCCCCCATAAGTTTTCCTCTGTTTGATATAACTTGCATATTGATCATTAATTGCTGGCACCCACTATAATTCAATTCCGTAATGGAGGAACCCCATACAACACGATGAACACGACGATAAATACTTTCTGCAGCACACATCGGACACTTATACAAAAGAGAACGGGTTAAAAGATCGAAAGGGGGGAGACACATGGTTTTTTAAGAAAACTTACTGGTTCTCCCGTTGTATAAAGTGTTTGCGGATACAATTCGGTACAGCTGTTATCATTTATTAGCGAGGTAGATCAAGTTTTTTTTTTTTTTTTTTAAAAAAAAAGGGAAGGGCCTTACTTCCAAAAAGCTGCTGTTTCACCGTGTAGTAAAGCGTTTTCTTTGACAGAGTTCACACCATAACATGAAATCTCATTTTTGGTATGATCCACAATTAAAGCACCAAACGGAAACTGAGGATTGTGAAGGAGTGCATAGTCTAATGCAATTTTCATATAGCATTCATCCATATCCGGCCCTTCACATGGTTCAGCTAAACTACTTTTCAAATAGGTGAAAAGCGTAAGAATACATCCTATCCAGAGTAATTTCATTTCTAATTTTTTTTTGGAAAGGAAGAAGAAAAAAAAGAGATAAGAAATCCAAATGTTGAATTTATATCAATATGCTGCAAAATACACTTTTTTTGTGTGTGTGTGTGTGTGTGTGTGTGTGACAAACATAGACCCTTTTTTAAAAGAAAGTAGATCTTTGTAACATGCACTTTTTATATGAAACTCGCTTTCATTCTACTTTTTTATTATTATTATACACTACAACATATCGTCTCCCTTGAAAAATTCAACCATGTCGTAGTGTTTAGGTAATACAATTATTGTTTAACATACATCGTGGACCCTTACACATATTCTTAAAACAAGATAGTCAGTGATACCTTGTAGTAGTGTGATACGAAAACCATATCTTTTTTTAAAAAGTAAACAAATCAAAACACATTTTTACTCCGAGTTTATGCGCTAAAAAATTGAATCGATCGTCGACTACCCTCAAAGGATGGGAACCATTTTGTCTGGGAATACCTTTTACCGATACACTTTTTTCGTTGTCAAATGGATGTCTCATCAAAGTATCTTTTACTACCAGGCTGTTCTTAGTCATATTATAAAATGGAACTATATCTCATCTGTCATTTTTTTTTTCTGTCATGTACAAAGCAATGGAATTTGTAATTTTTGTTTTTATTATTTATATTTATAGATGATTACATTTTTGTTTTTTTTCTTAAGCAAAGTTGTCTTCAATATCTGCTTCTGTCGTTGCTTCCGTTTCACTACTAAAGTTCATGAAATGAGCAGCACGATGAGACTCATGGTAAAACTCTTTAGGCACATCCAACACAAGTCGATAATTCATGTTTGCACTAAATTGTGCTCCCATAAAGTTATAATTCCACACTTCCGAAGGCACCATAAAGTGACCCAGGAATCGATCCGACAGCAAAATTTGCACCTTTTCTCCGTGTGTAGGCAAGTAGCCTTGAGGTTGGTTACCAGGGTCGATGTTCGTCTTACCCCATTCGAAACCAGCCGGGGATAACTTATACGCTGAAAGTGAGCATGAACCAGGCGTGAACGAACACGTCAATGTCACCGTCTTTTCTCCATCCCACGTCTTGTTGTTCACTAATAATTTCGCATGGGTAGTCACATCTTGAGGTGAAATATTCATCAATTCTTGAGGTTGAGTATGGATCCATCCTAAAGGCTCCAAGTCTGCCAAGTATTCGTGTTCGGGAAGCGTATTGGGTAAATGAACAGTTTGATGTGTACCCCATTGAGGTGGAATCACTACACATCGAATTTCCTTGACATTAGGTGCATCAGGAGGACTGACACCATACATGAAACCAGCAATTTGTGTACGTAAATCAGAAATCGTAATGAATCGCTTCAACACATTCTTGGGCATCACATAGGTATACGTATGTTCCTTAATATCATCCGAGTTAACATAGATATGGTTTGTTCTCAAATACAAATTCGTGGCAGAAATAGCACGAATACGCCATTCTGTCTTACTAGAGAACGTAGCTTGTTCGTAATTACTAGTAGTCGTCACAACCATTTCATCACCGTGGATGTTACGCGTCTTGGTAGTAACAGCAGTCAATTGGGATTGTTCCTTTGTTTGCTTCTCAATTTCAGCAATTTGTTGACGTTGGAGAGAGGGCGCTTGAATTTCCATACCCAAAATAATATCTCGGATCTCCGATTGGGTAAGGGATGCAACATTGACGTTGTTCTTCTTACCATAATCAGCTAAAATCAAATCCTTCAATTGCACTTCCACCTTGGCCCATTCTTCATCTGAGAGCGTTGGCCAGATATGATGAGGTTCGGTGATCGTACTTCTATCAGGACGCAAGATCATCTTGGTCTTATCTGTATTGACATGGAGTGCACGTAAAATAAGAACCAAACGGGAGAACGCAGTGTATGAGGAGAACGTCTTTAACCAATCATCATACAAGTTGAACAAGACCATTTGAGGTTCAGTAGCCTTCAAAATCAAATCACCAAACTTTTCCACCTTCAAACAAGCTTGGAAAGGTAATTGAAGTTCCGAACCCTTGATCACAATGTTGGGGAAATCAAGCAAATGAACTTCCAAAGGATCCAACATACCCTTTCTTGTCACAATAATTTGCTTGGGTTGTTCTTCAACAGGGAGAGATCGAATCAAAGCAGCAACTTCTTCCGCTGTCTTCCATTTAGCCAACTGACCAAGACGCTTTTGACCAGCCCATACAGATGTATGAATAATCTTCAAGAAAAGTTGTCCCGTACGAGGATTAAAGATGAAAATCGCACCGTTAATAGGCTTGGTAGTCAAATTACCTTCGAAAGTCTTGTGGATGGTAACACGATAAACATTGGTATCATCAACAAACCAAATAATCTGGTTACTGAATAACTCACCATAATTGGTAGATGACAAGTAAGGTTCAGTAGGCTCAGAAGAATACAATTGAAGGGCCTTTCTGATACGTTCACGAAGGACATAAAGAGCAGGATTGGCCTTCATGATCTTACCCATTGCTTGTTGAACAAGAGGCTTCATACCAGGAATCCAGTTACCGTAAGCAGAATACAAATTGTAGGCCAAATCAACACCAATCATAAGACCAGTGGGAGAAGGATAGATACTCATGTTATCCGTAGTGTAATCCAAGAACTTGGCACGCGTGTATCTTTCAATATCATGAGAATCATAATCACCCCATCTCAATTGAATATCAAGCCAGTACTTGGTAGTGGTAGGACCTTCCATCACATCCTTAGGGTCACTCAAGAGTGAGGGACGAGAGACAGGCCACTTATAGGCAGCAAACAACAAGATGTCAGAAGCAGAGGAATTCATCTTGTAAGACTTTCTGGGATGGATAGTTTCCTTTTGCACTGTTTCAATCTGGAGAGCTTCCAATTCACGATCAAATACTTGAGCAAAATCCATGGTAAGCGCCTCGTGAATCTTTTGCCACAAATGCGCACGGAAAATCTGAATGAGAGAAATCTTGAGAGTGGGAATCTTACCATGCATGAAAATACCAGTCAAATCAAGTTGCACTTGGAAACCGACATAAACATTTGCACGATTGATTGTAACGGACCACCAGAGCGTGAAACGACGATTGGGAATTTGGTTCAAACCGGATCTTTGAGCATTGGTCAATTTCTTGGACTTCATCGACTCTTCAAAACCAGACGCCTTCTCCCAAAACAAACCATGCCAATCCTTATGGTACGTACCCTTGAACAAGGTGTGTTCCAAAATACCTTCAACACCACCAAGAGCTTGAATCATATCCGTACGATAATTGTTCAAATTCCAAAGCTTACCATCATGTCGTTGATGAGTCCACCAGAATGGATTGTTCTTCAACACTTGATACTGCTTGAAGTCGGTACGTACACGCCAACCCTTATCATAAGCAAGCGTATGACGATCCTTTTGGAAAAGTGTATTAATACGAGGAATACCACGATCCCAAGAATCCTCCAGATCTTCCAAAGTCAAACGTCTGTTTTGTGCATTGGCTTCTTGACGCTTCAAAGCATATTCAGCCCATACACGTTGAGAATCAACAAACTCGGATTCCCAAGATTGAATGTAACGATACAAGTTAGGAATCAACGTATCTTCATCATGAGACATACCAGAACGGAAATGAGTAATACCAGTCTCTGTTTGCTTGGACCATCGTAAATCAGATTGAGGAATCAAAACGTGACCCATAGAGAGCATACCAAGACCACCCAATTCCTTGGGTGTCATGAACACTACAGGAGGGAAACGAGAAGGCATTTTGGAATTGAGACCAATCTTGACACGCGTCTGGATCTTGTTCTCACACTTCACGAGTAAATCAAGTAATTCACGCGTATGAACAACAGCTTCACGATAATATGTCATCAAACCAATCAAGGCAGTGTTCCATTTGTTGGCAATCTTACTGAAAGTAGTACTACCAGAAGCCATCAAAATTTGTCGGATACGGTTATGGAACTTGTCCATCGATTCTTGATCAACGCGCAAGTAGGCTTGTGCGGTTCTTTCCTTGGTTTGTTCATTCACCAAATTCCAGACACCATCCTTTAAGGTAAATTCTTCATTCAAGCTTCGGATCTTGGGAAGGATACGGATTTCGAATCCACTCATCGAGAACAGCAAGTTGGGATTATCTTGAGAGTACACACTCACAAAACTATTCTCCCATTCAATTGTCGTCAAAGAACGAGGAAGTCGATTCTTGATATCCCAGAAGGCGGCACGACCCAAGTTCACATCATGTTTCATAAGACGCATACGACAATCACGAGGCCAGCACTTCTTGTTATTATATCCAACAATATTTTCGAAATTAGGATCAGGATGCTCCGTCAAGTATCGTTGGATCAAATCACGCGCTTCATCCGCAGTGAAACGGAAGAAGATATGAATACGATCCACATAACGAGAATACAAACGAATAGGATGGCGTGTTTCTGTATCAACATCACGGTATTGCAAGAAATCATTGGGCAATTGAGGGGGACCAGCCATTTCACTAGCACGGTGAAGACCCAACACCAAAAGATCCAAGACAAGACCATAGTATTGGAAAATAAATGAAGCAAATTGAAGACCACGGATCAAACCAAAGGCGTTCACATGATTCATATCCTTATAATTCAACACAATATTGTTCTTGGCCGTGGCATAATCAGCTAAATTGTGATCCAAAATCAGACGCAAAAGACGACCCAAGAGCGTAAGATCAATCTTTTCATAAACACGGCTGAAAGTGGTCTCCATCATGACATTACATTGACCTTCAGTAGTATCCCAAACATCGGTCAAGTTGTTAATACCTTGACACCACTTATAAACAAGTAATGGAGGAGGTTCGGAATCAGAAGGCTTGATCCATGCAGGGAAAAGATGACGCTTGTCAGCCTCATACCAAAGATATTGATCAAGGTAGGCATCCGTAATCTTCTCAAGAGGTTCAATATCATAAACAGGAATCAAGTGAGAATACAGATCCATGAATTCAATACCAACTTCCTTGAAAGCACGTTGAGTCAACAGGAGACGTTTAATACGTGAAAGGGCTTCATGGGGATTATCATACGCTTGTTCAATTAAACCCAATTCTTCTCTCTGACTTTGGTTCAAACGACCTTGCACACTGTAAGCTTCACGAAGACGTTCAAGGGCAAGAATGAGCAATTTGGTATCATGTTTGTAAGAAAGAGGGGGGAAAGGAATAGGAGAGAACTTTCGGCTTTCTAACCAATGGACGGTAGAGGTATAAATAGCAACAGCTTCTTCCGCAGTGATGTAAGGACCATCCTTGAGATAATTATGTTGACGTTCTTGTTCTGCCTTAAGCCAGAGACGAGTCAAACGACCCAAATTTTTACGGCAAATGGTCTTATCGACAGTAGCACCTCTTCTGATACGTTCACGATTATAATGAGCAACACTGGTCCACCAATCAGCCTTAGCCTTGATATAACGGAGGATCATGTTTTCAATCGGTGCAGGCATACCAGGCACCTTCCAAGGAATATTAGCCTTCCAAGCTCTCCAAGCTTCAGAAAGATGTTGAAGAATGGTACGGGACTTGTTACCCTTAATACCTTCAGGCATAGCATCCATAATATCATGAAGAACAGCGGCTCTCAACTCCAAATCGTAATGAGAATCAACACGTTGCTTGGTGACAGTCTTGGCAATACCCTTTGAATGTCTACCTTCGAATTGACGAGCGAGTAAGTTACCTAACCAACGCTCAAGGAGGGGGACGATACCACGCATAAAGAAAAGCCAAACTCTCCATCCAGGGGCCCAGATACCTACACCAGGACCTTTACCCACGGGACCGGTATTGAAACGGTAATAGATCAAATGCTTCAAATCCTTACACATACGAATTTGTCTCATCAAACGATACTTGTAACGATACATACCAGTCAATTGACCCACATGGGAAAAGATATACTGAAGACCATCGGCCAATTGGAAAGCATCCACGTTACCAAGACGGTATTGGACATGGGAATCCACAATGAGCTTGGTCAAACGTAAAATTTCTCTACAAAGATGGAAAGCGTTACCAAAACGAGACTTCTTTCTTTCCTTGGTAGTCAAGGTCTTGACAGGCTTCAAATTGAAATTGTAATCGAGATGAAGATAGTTCAAATTCTTTCTGTGGATCAGCAAATTCAACATGTTATAACCTTGACGACAGACCTGGAGACCAGCTTCAACCCAATCAATTTGTGTAGTCTGGAAAAACTTGGTGGCTTTAAGACTACGGAAAAGATACTTCTTATTAAGTGCCTTGGGAGGTCGATGACGAAGAGCGTTCAAAACATAGCATTTAAGTAACTTTTGATAAGAAACGCGGACTTTGACAGGTTGACCAGCAGGACAATGTTCGAGATACCAACTCTTGACAAGAGGGACATCTTGAGCACGACGAGTACGACCTGATCTCTTATCGAAAGGATGAGGGGCCCAGTAAAGTGAGATGGCATTGGCAGTATTATCAGTATAAAGTTCAGTATCATCCAAGAAAGGAACGACATAGTTGGGTAACGTAAACTCAGTGTCCTCATCTCCATCACCGAAAATCTCATCTTCATGTTGTGTGCCAGCATTATCGACGTTACGAGAAGAAATAGGGTTAACGATAGGATCAAAGTAGAAGGCAGGAAGGTCGGGATCCTCAGTACGGATAAATACGACTGTAGGGTAATGGTACCATGACACTTGTACACTACGAGGAAGGGAGTTGTACAAGAAAGGGAAAGCGATCTTGTATTCTGTACGAACGGGTTGACGAATGATAATTTTGTTGATATCATTGAATTCGTTCCAATCGTCATCTGCAGAATCCATATCACGATAAAGAGGTTCGAATTTGGGACCACCGGGGATGGCCATACTTAAAGCCTTTGCAGTAAAGAAGGAGTTAAGATCGAAGAGATAAAAGTAATTCTTGTCATTAAGATCGGAGAGCAATTGATGGGCAACACGATATAAAGTAGACATAATTGGCAAATTCAAACGCCAGTTACGGTAACTAGAACCATTCACAAATTTGGTATCCATTAAAGGTTTGTTGTCATAAAACCAATCATAAATAGCATCGTCTTCTTCTTCATCTAATTCCATTTGAATAGCTTCAAGAGGTTCGACATCCATAATATTATCACCGTAATCGAGAGGGGGTTCTTCATCATCGAAAGGAGGGAAGCGCATACGCTTAAAATGTCTTCTGTCACGCTTTTCTCTACGCATCATAATCCATTGAGAACCCCATTGAGCGATATAAACGGGTTCAATGACCCAAGGAATTTCATTCACAAAAGTAATGGCACCAGTAATATGGTACAAAACAGACACTTCTCTGACTTGTTCCCAAGGCATAGGCATATTTTCCAGTAACTTTAAAACGGCATGAGGAACATACTTGAGTGCACCGAGATAAATACGTTTATCATGTCTAAATTTCTTTGCCGTCATATCACCATGATCCTTGATAATCTTTCGAAGATGCTCAGGAGGCATATCAGCTTTTTCATGTTCAATAAAACCTGTTTCGACAAAAAATAAATCAGTCATAAAGAACGAAAAAACCTTGCAGTGTGCAATAGTGTAAAATACGTACCGAATTTTCTTTTTTCGCCATAACGCTTATTTTGTAATTGCTGCCATTTTCTGGCTTTTTCCTTCAACTTGTCTTGTTGACTTTTTTCTGTTTGAGGATTAGACTCGTACGCGTACTGATCATATTGATTTGTATAAGCAGAAGGTGCTCCGCCAACTGGAATGGGTAATCCCGAGTTGTTGTGATCCATTATAGGTGTATTCTTTTTTTAGATAATCTAGTAATTGGATATATTAATTGACCGTGTTTCTTAAAAAGCCATGTTTGAATATTCTACCTAAAATTAGAAAAACTTTTCTCTTTTTCTTGTATTGACAACTGAAACTTTTCTTAAATGTCTTTTATGCAAGAATTTAAAAAAGAGAGTCAATGAATGTTATAATTAAGAAAATAAAAAAAAAATAAAAAAGATGTAGTGAAAGGGCTGCGTAGCGTGAAGAGGGACATGAAAAAAAAAAAATTCGTTTGTGACGCTTTTATTGTCGGCCAATGAAAATTAAATCAGGCAGTGATATGAAGCTGTTTTGCTGCAAACAATTGTTCCACCAGGTCTGCGGGTGAAGGATCTTGTGAAGTAGTGTTTATTTTACAGTATTTTGGCTATTAAAGTATTCAATATTAGCTTTATGGAAGGAATGAGGCATATTTTATAGTTACCAATGACATGGCAGACTCCGATCTTCTTATTAAAGGCGGTGGTGATGACTTTGATGTCTGACGCACAATAGTGGGTATATCTTTAAATATTTGCTGTCTTGATAGAGGAGGACTGTTACGTTTTTCAATAGATTGTTAATAATCATGTATACCGAACGCTGTGCAATCCTTACTTTTGAAATTGTGTGATGACGTTATTGACGGGATCGGCTTTTATATTCAACCGCAACGATAGCTGTCAAATGTTGCACAATGAGAATACAATTTCGTAGTAAAAGTTTAAAGCACCCCAATTACCTTTATCGTCGAATTAAATTTACAATTTTGTAACAAATAACGTTCGGTTGTTACTCCTGAGCCAGCATATTCAGACAAATTTATTAAGAGTGACCCTATTTCTTTACCGCCTTTTTGATATATTTCGAGCTTTAATTCACAATTGCCGAGTATTTGCTGTTTATTTACAACGAGTTGTACCATTGTGTTGATGGGATGATTCCATGTTACTTGGTGATCTTTAATTGGAATTCTATTGCATAATGTTAGCTTCAGTTTTTTTAAAACTTCTCTCTGCATATGAATACCTTGCTGTTGACCCTGTTGTGTGCGTAGCGTTCTTTAATTTCCAGTTTACAAAATAGTATCCACTCACCAGTGGAACATTTACGAGGTCTCTCAATATAAGCGATAATTCAAAGTTTACCTTTCTGCTTTTAGATATGAAGAGATGTGTAAAAGGAGTCATGCGGTGCTTGTGTGTATATGTGTATGTGTATGTTGCGTTTAGGGGAAGGAAAGAGAGAAAAACAGAAAGGGGAAGAAATGGACGGGAGCCAGCCTTTTTAAACAATTACAAAGCTTGTCAGCTAAAATACTTTTTCCAGTACGCGGGGGAACTTTTTTTCCCGCATATTGCCTACCTTGCAAAAATAACGAAAATAAACATTAAGCCACTAGTCTTCTATTTTAAACATAAATAAAGGAGGCATACAAAGTTCTTTTAAAACTACCCCTCCCCCGCTTCATACATGGTTAAGCCCATACATAAAAATATCTCGTTCCCGCACATGAACATTTCCTTTTACTAAAACACTTTGATTTAAAACACACTCCTCTCAGATGTGTCTCACAACACGCTTCAATCTTTATCAGAATAGGCAACGTTTAAATAGAGTACCCGGTATAATCCATACAAAACACAAAATATGCTGCGTGTCAAATGCCAACATGTCCCAATAAAAGGTAATATACCAAAATAAGGAAGCACCTTGGTGCACTAGAAGTTACCTTCGTTTAAACAATTATTGTTTATACTCATTTCATAATACAAAATATCCCACTTGACAATGCCGTTTATTTGTTTTTGCTCTTCTAATGGCACCAGTGAAAATTAGAGTTCTGTGGTTTTTCTTAACTTTCAAGGGTGATTCTGAAAAAAATGCGTAGGACTTTGTAAGACGATAAATCACTATGGCACGTTCTTCCCTGCTAAAATTGGACATAACAACGTATGGGCGAAGCTCAATAACACTGAATTAGGCGAAATAATCTTGGGCTTATGGTTTATACACCTGATAATTGACTCAAAAATTCCGGGGTGAGATTATTTATATACACAAGTCGTACAACTCAATCCGTAATACAAGCCGTATTGAAGACTAAAACCGTAAAATTGTCAAGCTTAACTGTGACAGAGGAGGCATATACCAATACTCTTTTAACCACATGATACCCGGTTATTTGAAACCAGCTTCGTTGTCAGTAGTATTAGAAAATGTCAGACTATTAAATGATTGAGATATCATTGCATTTAGTATGTGCAGGGAATTTATTTAGTAGCTTTGCATATACACATAACGATGTATATACCCTTACTTACAACAAGGGAATGCATTTCTTATCTGTCTAGCGTTTAAAAAAAAATGCAAGTAATGTAATAAAAAGAGCGACTACATGTATCTTTCTTGATTTAAATTAGCCCTTATTAATCGGTTCACTAAAATATTTTTATAAATTGACATTATCTATTTACTGGCCCTTCTTTGACTCTAAAACAGCGTATCGTGTGTATATAGTATATAAACTAATGTATTGCAAATCCAAAGATCGTAACTAAATATTGTACAATAGTCTTTATATTTATCATGTTCCACAACGTTTTAATATCTTAATTTCATTTTGATGATCTAATGAAAGGTCCCTTTATTTAAAATTTATAAAAACAGACTTTATTTTATAGTTCATTTACCCTAACTCGAATAAATATGGATGGTATGATCTACCATTTATATGGCATCTTATTATCATAAGTGAAGGTATTACTTGTTATCATTTGTCATGCCTTCATTTTCAATTTTTGAGATTGAACGCTATTGGACCATAAAATAAGCAACTGTGTGTGTTTACCGCTACTTGTGATCACCGATCACATCAAAAGCATGAAGTAATCATTGCTATAAAGTTAGTGCTTATTTCAAATATAGCACAATAGACAAACGTTTGGAAAAGTATGTCGTATAGTTAGAACGCGAAGTAAAACAAATTGTTAAAAATTGTCTGGGGAAGTCAGTGCAGTTGGTATTACACAATTAGTGTGTTTCAACAAATTCAAAACATAAATAATGGAACTGTTCTTAAATCACAAGCAAACATCATGAATTCAAGTGGGTTTTAACGATCTTTAGTCAGACTAATACTTTCATTAAAAAACTTAAGAAAGATCCCCCCTCCCCCATTCCGAGATTTATTTTAGCTTTTTTAAAATTATATAGAATTTTCATTGTCTAAAATGAAATTGTACAACAACAAGTCTAGGCACTTTAAATACACAATTAGACATTTACGAATTACTCAATATAGTCATCGTTTTTTTTTAATTATTAATATACACTCCCTTCGTCGTATAGTTTTCGGTTGTATGGTATATAAACTTATAGAGAAGGTCGCATTTTGTTTTTGGTTTCTTCTCTTCAATTGATTTCATGCTGTAACCCAATCACGCAGTCTTTCTTGTGTAACATCTCCGTTTGCTTTGAAACAAGTGTATCCTATATTATCAAAATTTGATCCGGTAACAGAAATACCAGCTCCTCCTTCGCACTGGATGGTATATAGTCTTTTTATTTCCCTCGGAGCCATCCGATCAAAACCGAATTTAATCTTTATCCAATTTTAGTGCTTCGTTTAAAACTAGCCATTAGATATTAACACTTACATATAAGCTTAAAGGATAATCACGTTGGCGACCAATAACACAATCACCATTATCATATGGACAGCATTCTTTACCGCCTTGAGCAATTTCTTTTTTGAAAGCTCGACTAAATAAAAAACAGATTAGAATTGCAGGGCTTTGATGTAGGAGGTAAATGGAGCTGTACCCAAAGTCTTCAATAACGTTGTACACTAAAAAACTAGGTCCATCACCCTCCAATCTGTTATACACACAGAATGCTTGGGTTATGCTTGAGAATAGTGATATTACAACAGCTATTTCTAAAAGAAGCTTGAAAGATGATTTCATGTTAGCAGGATAAAGTAAAAAAATATCAGTAAATAAAAAAAAAAAAAAAAAAAAAAAACTGACGTCTTTATATTTGTTTTTTTTTTGTGTTGCCAAAAGATAAAATATCACAGAATTACATTACTTCTATACTGTCGAAATTTTATTGTATTGGGCGTGCAAAATAATTATCGTAAATGGATATGCACGACCGATTTAGCTAAATGTCTACGTTGCACCGTATATGTATTTTGATTGTGCTCCACTTAGACCTCCCCCTCCTTTCTTTTTCTTGTTGATTATTCTCAATAAGTCTTATTTGATAGTTATTAATGTAAGTAAAGCTCTTGAATCAATACTTGCAGCTCTCTTATGCATTCTTTCTCTTGGGCACACTTATCAATTTTCTTCTATATTTTTTTTTGGCCAGTTTATGTTGACACTTTTCAATTGTGCTATTACTTGTTGTGTAGTCTGGGGCCCAAGGACAAATAAAATTAAATATTTCCCATAATTACATGTACTATAAAAGCCGAAAGTTTCAATAAAGAGAGCTTCCAAATTAAGTTACATGTAGTTTGACCATAATATTTCTGCGTAAGATTAAGATAAAACGAGCTTAAAAACGAAGGAGTGATGGTAGAACTATCAAACTAAGTACAAGTCATTCAATATACATTTATTCGTAATTGTTATACTATTTTTGATAATATATTCTTGTTTCCAAGTCTAAAGGATAGCCAAATCACAGAACTTACGTTGTGACTACGCGCACTTCGACTGTCCCTAAGGAAAAATCGGCTGGCCCTAAGAAAAGCGTTTGTGCTACAAGACGATGCATTGCGAAACTCATTAGCTAATAGTATGTGCAGTTTTATTTATGTTTAAAAAGAGGTATTGAGCGACATTCGATTAGATCAAGATACAGAAGTTTCGATTACATAATATTGCGCTTTGTTGGTCTAATAAATGCATTGTTTTGAAGCATGATTTTTGTTTTTTTTATTGTTTGGCACAGCCCCGAGAGTTGTGACTCTAGAAAAAGAGGAAATTTATTTTTTTAGTGTCAAAAAAAAAAAAAATCTTTCTGTTTTTTTTCCTTTACACAATGACAAACAACAACATTAACAGAATTGGACTTTCTCTTGGTTCAACTCCATCTTCACCAATACCAATACCCAACATGACACCAGAAACGTTGAAAAGAACTGACAACAATAGTCGACCTATACCAGCAGTAACAGTGAAGAAACCTTGTGTTGAAATGACGGATGCACAGGTGAACGAAATTGTCGAAATGTTGGGAATTATTTTGGGAAAAGTCAAGCAAGCTATAGCAGAAAAGAAAGGTATATCTGTGGCTCATTTATACACGCAAAATTTTTGGCAGCGTGACTAAACTCTTTGCGATACTAGATACTTATGCACCTTCCGCCGCTGTCACCTTTTTACTACGCAGGATGGACGTTGATACACAAGATCTTTTGTCAGAGGATCTGTACTGTTTAATGACAGGATTTATGACAGTGTACGTAAGCTTCATACAAGAAGTGTTTCTACACAAGTTTAAAGATTTCATGAGACTTTTCTCAAGTCACGATTCACTATTGAACGGAAAAGACGACGACAACGACCAACCATTTCTTTGGTTGTATTTATCTTATGATAGAACTAACAATTTATCAATCCTTAACGACTTACACAAACAATTATTGCCCAAGAGATATGACGCCAATTTTATCTTATCAAGAATTGATGCCATCTTTTCCAAATTCTACACAACTCATTTCTTAGAGGCTTATGTCCAAAAACATCAAAAAGATCACGGCCAATTCTACACACCCCAACCAATCATTAATTTTATGTGGGATAAATGCGCTACTTTACCTGCTTTGACTGAACATTTACAACAAAACCAGCCCATGCTACGTGTTTTCGATCCTTGCTTAGGAATGGGATCATTTTTGTGCGAATTTTTAACGCGTTTTATAAAAGCATGTCGGTATACTGTTTGGAACGATCCTGTAAAATTAACCACCCTGTTAGCAAGAGACATTCCAGATCATATTTGGGGAGTTGAAATTGACCCGTTTGCTTATCAGTTATGCAAAATTAACATGATGGTTCACTTATTCCCTTTGTATGAACGTTTAAAGGAATTAGGCGTTGACTTAAAACCAGGCATGATCAATCGTCTCAGACTCTTTTGTAACGATTCCCTCAAGTTACGCGAAGATACAAATCCTTTTATTTCAGATACAGATAATCAAATGGATCCCTTTGAAAAGGCCTGTTTAAAAGCTCTACGTAACGCTTCTCAGAAATTTGACTACATCGTTACAAATCCTCCTTATATGATCAGAAAAACAGGTTATGTTGCTCAACCTGATCCTGTAATATATGATGAAGAAAAGCTGGGTGGAAGAGGCTCGCAGGCTTATCTTTATTTCATGTGGGTCGCCTTGCAAAGGTGTGATGACGCTACTGGCCAAGTATGTTTGATAACTCCCAGCCAATGGACAGTACTGGAATTCGCTCAACATATCAGGTAAGATCCATGCTTTTTAAATTACGTGTAAGTATACCTGTTTGGCTAACATAATACTATTAGAGAGTGGATCTGGAAAAATTGTAAACTGTTAGACATGTATGAATTCGAGCCTTACAAAGTTTGGCCGAAAGTTCAAACAGATTCACTTGTATTCCGTATCTGCAAACGTACCACTACTTTACCCAACACAAACCACACGCTCTATATCCGAAACACTTCCAGAAAAATCACTTTGAACGAGTTGTTAGAGCTATACAAAAGATTTGATCCAAACAATCCCGTCACAAATAAGGACATCAAGTTTAAACTTGCACCACTTGATGAATCAAATCGCGTATTAACTTCGAAGCACGCTTCGTTTGCCTTTGTTTTACCTACCGCTTCTTGTCTGGAAGAATTAAATAGTATTACTGCCCATCTACCTCGTTTATGTGATGGCGAACAAAATAGGTCCGGTGAAGACACACCTACTGAACCAACACCCTTAAATTGGAACAGAGGCCCCAACACAAATCCTGTTTATTCACTCGTGGTTAGGACAAGTTGGGCTATTGAAACGTTCGGTATGGAAGCTTGTGAAAGATGGTTAAAACCTTGTTTTTATTGGAATGGAAAGACTATTAGTTCTTCAACAGGTGGAGGTAAAGAAGGTGAATTTTGGAGAGAAAGAGACCCGTTGCGTTTAGGTAGAAAAGAAATGTCTGCTGCCGAAGCCTATTGGCCTTATTGTAACCTTGATAATGAGAATCCCACAGTATCGTTTTATTCCATGATCATGGTAAACAGGGACGATGCCGATAAGTTAAAAAAGGAATACGACGAATACGGTGTTGCTTCACCCATCGCTTCTTTGTACACTTATCTCCGTGAGGCACGTATTGCGCTTCAAGTGGATAAAGTTGAAAAAGAAATTGCGCATTGTCAATACAATAAATGTGGCGCAGAGGAACCCGTTAAGATCATCCACCCCATCAATTGTGGATACTATACTCGCTCACAACCACGTCAAAGATTCTTTGTTGATAAAACGCGCGTCTCCGTCACCAACCAATGCATTTATTTCACAATTAAGCCAGACTATCCGTGGCAGGACGCCGATTATTACTGTGGTCTCTTGAATAGTGCGTTGCTTCAATTTTTTAGTAAAGTGCACTGTTGCTACGATCCGCAAGGTCGTATGCGATTTTTTGGGAGATTGATGGCTTATATTCCATTTGCACCACCACCATCAAAAGAGTTTATGGAGCAAATGGCAATGTTAGTACAAGGCATGACGGAAGCACGCACATGGATTTATAGCTTTGTACGTCATACACCCAATGGGCAGCGACTCATGGAACGTGTTAGAAATTGTGAATGGCATTTGTCCAAAGCAGAAATAGATATCATCCATCAATTCTCTCCACCGGAAGGCTGGGAACCTCAACCTGACACAAGCCTATCCACATTTACATGCCCGCCACACCTTCAATGGATTTCAGATCTGGTATTGCGCCACCCCTTAACTACCAAACACAACATGGAGCACGTCTTTAGAACTTTATTGAAAATCACTTCCATTTTTCAATTCGCAATCGATCAAATGGTTTACCACATTTATAATATCCCTATTAATCTACAACTCGAGATAGAAACCGACCTAAATCTACAGGGATTACGCAAGGAATGGGAAGATCGAAGTGATTTAACTTACGACGAATTGGACCCAGAGGATTGGTTTGATACGATCGTCCAAACTGCGATATCATTCGCATCTGTCACCAATGACACCACATCTCCTCCTGTAGATACGAGCAAGGATAATTCTGTGACGACATTGGATGCGCCTGTTACAACACCAGACGCTTCTACACCAGATGTGTCTGTCACAGCACCTGTTATCTCAGATAATTCACCAAATGCTCCCGGTACTACATCAGATACTCCTGTTACTGCTCCTAATACCCAAAAAAAATATGAAAATTTTACTCAACAAAGTGCAAGTAATACGGAGAAATCCCGTCAGAATATATCTACTTATCAAGAACCCATTACACAACCTTCATCCACTCTCTACATCGCTGATAACAGCCATAGTCCCGTGCGCTCAGCGAATATCAGCAACACACGAAATGACCCCATTAATTATCCAGCGGTACAGAAACCTGTCCATAAACTCCAATGCATGAAAGACACCATAACAAAGCAAGATGAAACGGATGTCGATATTGTTTCGGTTGCTGTTACACCCGATCAATAATCTACTAACTCAGCTCCCTCTACACAATATTATACAGCAAGTTTAATGTTGTCTTGTTTTTAATAAATAAAAAAATGTAAAGAATAAATGAAATACAACTACGCATAACTTGGAGGAGGAGCCCGTAAGGTAGTGTCAACATATGTCAATTGATCCGATCTAATTTCATTATCAAATAACATGGTATCGTCAATATGTCCACCGTAAGCAGGCGGAGGTAATAAGGAACCTTCTTTCGAAGCGTAAGCTGCTTCTCTTTGATTTGCAGCCGAAAATAAAAAGTCTTGCAACCCAAAATTGGTACTAACATGACATGGACCGATGGATCCAATAATAGGATATAATGGATATTTAAATCCAATGGATGCTTTGCCCAAATTCTCGCCATTTCTCGTAAAAAATACTGTTCCACTTTGATACAAATAGCCAACACCTATCACGTCACCTTGTTTGTACACAGGCCCATAAGGTCTACCAAAATTTGGATCACTTGCAAATACAGATCCTGTGTTTGAATGATAAGCCACAGAATGTCGATGCCACCCTTTTGTTTAAAAAAAAAATAACATCAATATAAAAAGGTTCTTTCTCTTTTTTCACTTTTTTTTTTTTATTATCGTTATTATTTGTACCCGGTAATCGCCATCTTGGATATGGTTTTGTTGCAAATCCAATAGCTAGTCTATCTTGATCATTTAATTGTAAAATTTTCATCTCCCAATACGAAAATTCTTGCATAGGAACCGGCAAATTTGTCATGATGCTACCTTGCCCCTGACAAAATATAATATTCGAAGTCTCTTCATCCATGACAGCTGCATTACTTTCCTCTTCAGCATCCACAGTTGTTTCCGCTTCAACAAATTGCCATGCTAATACACCCTTATCAACTACTTCGTGGTGCCTTGCTACGTCAATATATGTATGTGTGTCTGGTGGATATTTTGATTGCCAGTCTACACAAATCTCGCTATTAGAACGTCTATTGATTTTTTTTTTTTTTTTTTTGAAACAAAAAACATTATTACTTAAAACAGCTTGTATTGTTTGAGTGTCTGTAGAATCTAATGGAGTAGCTACAGAAGTTAAATGTCGCCAGTCATCATTACGCATTGATGATAAATGCTCTTCTTTTTTGTGTCTCTTTTGTCTCACAAAACGAACACCCATGCAGGCTATGATACAAACAATGACGACTAGACATATGACAATGACCGCGTAAAAGCTCTGACCTCCAGTTGACATTGTTGGCATGGGGGAATTAAAGAAAAAGAGAGAGAAAGGGAGAGAGAGAAACACCCTCTTGTATGACACAAAATATTGACTCAGATCTAGCCTTTTTTTTTATAAATTGTCCCTGTAAGGTAAATATACACAATTATGGTGTATTTATCTCAGTCGGTTTATTTTATAATTATCTCTTTTTGGAAAATAACTACTCTTTTAAAGACAATGGTGTATTTTTTTAATAGAAGTAATACATACATTTATCAATGTAAGGGGATATCTGGTCTTCCAGAATATGGCATGTTTCATGGGGAAGGTCCCCATATTAGTGATAAACATTTACCGTGTATTTATTGTGTTACCAGCTTATGATTGAATCGGACATCGAAATATGCACGCTATTTAACCTTGAGCGATCATTGTCGATCACTTTTTTTTTCATATATTTTAATCAGACATGCAGGTGGTGGTTCTTGATTTAACCTGGACTGTAAAATTAAAAATTCTGTTTATCATTTGCGTATACTCAATTTCAGAAGCCTAAAACAAAGCCACCGCGCAGGTCTCTTGGCGTTTGTACAACAGCAAAATCAACCAATCCAATTACACTAATCTTGTACATAAAAATGTTGATTATGATAAGATTAATGATTTAACTTCACTTTGGTGCTTACTTTGACTATCCCCCTAAGTAAAAAAGTGAGTTGTCGTATTAATAAAGCAAATTCGGACGTTTGCAGTGATTGGCAAATTATGAAATGAAGTTTTAAAATTAAAACCTTTGCAACACAAACACAATTTATTGATGAGATGAGAAAAAGATATTTTTGAGACAGGTAGCACATGACAATGTTTGAACATCACATCAACCAAAACCAGTGAGTGAGTGCAGTTTTTACTGTTCACAATAAAAATGCTGCTAGTCGTGTGTCTGTCTTTGAAACCTGGCAATAGCACATTTGTTTATCAAGAGAACTTTGATTTCAAGGCTGCGAAACCGTATAAGCAGACAGGTTAAAACAACAATTAACACTGCTGTAAGAAATACATTCACATGTATTGATATGTCATTTTATATCATTGGTATATGTAACTAACGTTATTATCACAAATACTTTTGCTTATGTACATAAAATCTTTTCCATAAAATACAATCAGAAAAAAAGCCATCAAAGCCATTGCTTTATCAGATTGATACAGGTAATATTCTTTTTGAAAAACTTAAAACCCTAAACGATTAAGATTTCTTTTTTATTGCAGATGGAATACTCGTCCGAAAAAAATAGAAGTCTGAAATAGTAAGAAATTAACTTTTATTTGTTTGTCAACATTGGACTCGGTCACAAATTCTATTAAGCTGCTTTTTACAAGGAGTACATGGTTAATGTGTTTTTTATAGTTTTTTTTTTTATTACTATTATTAATTAATCAAGTATTAAAGATGTGATCCAATATCTGAAAATGATTTTCGCAATTGAAATGGAGACATCCCTGGCGGAGCACCAACACTCCATATGTTATCACCAAATTCCCCCATGATAGTCTGTAGCAGATCCTGGCTTTTATTCGCGTTATTGTTCTGTGTTGCATCGATGTCCGAAGGAACGCTAAATGGTGCTGGTTGTTCTAATTCATCTATATCCATATATTCAACATCACAGTAGCCAGTCCAAGAAGGATATACCAAGGATTCCGAAGAAGATATACTTTCAAATGAATAGGTTGAAGTTGTTGGGCTGATTGTAGCTTGCTTATAAGCCGGGCTGGTATTTTTCTCAACTGCTTGGGTATAGTTTCTTTGTACATGCTCCTCCAAGACACTTTCCATATGTCGGCACCATGTATCTTTTTCTTCCGGAGATTCTGCCTCAAAGTGAAGATTCATAAGATTTTTGGTTGCAACAGAACATATAAACTGTAATGGGTGTCTTTCTACAGCAATGTTAGATTTTGTTGGTTGATAAAGGTCGTTACAGCTCTGTGAGGTAAAGTAAGATGTATGTGGCGATTCAGTGGATGGTGAAGATACACTATGCGTGTCATGGTCATCATTGTTGCGTGACCCATACCTCCTTAAAGATTGGAACAGCGCCGATCCGCGTCTCGAAAGTTTATCTGTATTTGTAAGATTAATCTCCCTTGTAACTGCTCTATCGACCATCGTAATTTTTCCAGGTGTGTGCGTAATTTTAAAAAGTGTGTCGGGCGAAGGACCATGATAGGTACCTTTTCGAGAAGGTGGTCCCATTGCTTTGTTTTCCGTGGGGCTGGACCTTTTCTTATCCCTTTCCTACATTACATAAACAAGTTAAAAATATGCTTATTTTTTTTTAATTTCTAGTATAAAAGCTTACGCTTGTACAAACAATCATGTCATTGAACAGAAAAACATACGCACGTTTTTGTCTTTTTGACGATAATGAAAATGTACTGTTTCGTCTGCTTAAAGTTGAAGGATACAAAGAACTCGAAAATGACCCTGTAGATTCATCAAGACGAGACGTGGAATATTTTTGATCGGATACAGGAACCAATGTCAAATAACCTTCATGGATTAATTTTCTACCACTCTTTGCAATATGTATAGTAGACCCCTCCAGTCCCTTAATTCTGCACGCCAAATCTTCCAGCTTCAAAAAATCTTCAGATTCTTTTTTCTGTTTTTCAAAATATCGCAACATCACATCCAATTCAGTTAATAATATTTGGATCTCTTGAAAGTCGATATCATTCGGTGAAAGACATTCTGCTAATGATTTAAAGAAGAGTGGATACTTCATTACTCGTTGAATGGGCGTTAATAAATATGCTGAGAGCGGCAAATTTCTGCATTCTGTCCACAATGATCGGCGCTAAAACGTTTAAGCATTAACATACAAATCTGTTGGCATGTATTGTACAATTCTTACAGATATAAATGATCCCAATTCATCTTGAAGTCTGATGCTTTCCATAAGTATATTGTTGGCTTTCTCGAAATTCGAGAAGTAGGCAGCATAAACTTCAAATCTGGAAATCTGGAAATGCTATTGTTAAATTTGTGTTGTCTTGAACAATAAATTGATGTACATACAAATGATCTACAAACATCGGCAATGTTTTGAACAACAGGGTGTTGTGCCATCTGGCGTGCTCTTAATTCCTATATTTTATTTGCGTAAGTTTATATATACGCATATACGAAAGATTGTTTAGTTTACCTTTAGTAGCTGTAAATGCATTCTTATAATTTGAAATATGTTTTCGAATAAATGTTTAACAGCAGCAGGCAGTCCATCCCAACGTAAAGTCTCTTTTATAAATATCTAGGGATGGAATTTTTTTTTTTTTTTTTTTTTAGTAATCGGAACTTTTTTTCGGTTTTTTGTTTTTTCAGGTACATCCACCTCTTTAGTTTACCTTGTATACCAAAATAAGATCATCTACGTATGATTGTTCTGTCATAATAATCTCATATATCAGCTCTTGATATTTAACTTGTTTGGCCGAAAATCCATATAATTCTTGCTGATCTATTTTTAAACTGTCCTTCCAAGTGCGCGGTAAGCCTTCAATATGTGGAAATCTTGGCTCGCCGATAGTAGAGGCTACGTATTGCCATGAAGGAGAGGCATGTAAGGCATATTCTTGAGCTAGTGATTCAATAAGAGCTTGGTGATGGACAGCATCTTCTTCATCGTTGGCTGGAAGTTTACGACAACTGACACTGTTTGATGATGAGGATAACAGGAGGTCGTTAGTAGTGTTGAGTTTTATCAGTGGGTTGATGCTTTTTGTAAAAAAAGCCAAATTCTTTCTAACAATATCTCTTGCCCTCCTACCCACACGTGAGGCTTTCGCCTCAAACACTTTTTTCTGGACCCCTCCCATATATACGTGCGGTGTAGATGGGCGAAGAGGATGTTCGCTTTGTTTATAAGTGGTTTTATTACCCATAATTGCTGTGCTTGTAATTTAAAATAGGTTTTGACTAAATAATGAAAAGAATGGATGAATAATAGGAAAAAAAAATCGGTTTGTGAAAAGGCAATATTATATCACAGAATGAAAATATTAAGACTTTTTCGGAGAAATAACGTACCATCTTCAAGTGTTGATAAAATAAAATATTCTAATAGATATTCTTTTTTTTTTTTGATTTATTAATTGAGGGAAATATTCAGAAGAAAGAAAGACAAAGTTGGTTGTTTCGATAGTAGAAGTCAATAAACTTTTTATTTCTATTGCGAATGTTTTGTACTTTCTTTGTATGGGAGTCTTAATTTGGAATAAACATACCTTTTTTAGCAGTGTGTTGCTACATCAAATTGCTGGTAACATTGTGTTACGATGTTATGATCTGAGTATAATTGTTCAAAATGTTTGGATGTTTTTGTATTGAAGCATCACTGTTACTGCTATGCAGCACTGCTACGGGATGAAATTGCTGTCTATTTTGTGCTATTGTATTTGACAAGAAAACGTATCACACTCACAACGTGTTACATGCATATAAAACGCCTATCCACCAAGGAGAAATACTTTAAATAACTTGAAAAACCAGGCCATGCTTATCTTTGGGGGTTGAACTTGGGGTTTCCATCGTTTACTTTTGACCCTAGAAACGGAAATGTTATTGTGAAAGCTTCCGTCATAGCAAAAATTCAATTACTCTTATGAGACAGGCATGGAAAATACTCGGTCTTAGTTGAGAATTCCTTTATCTCCTATAAACTAAAATATTGAACGATTATTTATTTGCATTATCATTTCGTGAAACAACACTTTAACACAGACAAAGAATTTTTTCGCTCTCTACTTTCTTTACAACAAATACACGAGTGGGACAATATTATGTCACTCCCTATTAGGTATCGTAAAAAAAAAAATATTGCCACGTCATAGGTTCAATAGGTAGCTATTGACTGTACGCAGAAGACATGATTCCGTTGTACATCTTACTAAAGCTTTAACGACATAGTCGGATGTTAAATCGTCCTATTACAAAATCAGGGCAACATTAGGTTATCCATCTTCTTTTTTTCGTCATCAACAATGACTGAAATCACAGTTTTGCAATTATGGCTCATGTTATCTTTTATGGCGGTTATTTTTCTGTCTGGCTTATGTTGGTGCTTTTGTTGTGGAACGTGTAGTAAGATCTATACATATTTACAATTAAACAAGGTTGTTCACACTTGTAAAAGTTGGTAGAAGTATGTTACGCAACACAAGATTACTCAAATTTACTCGCGATGGCGACGATTATCGACCATGGAAACAAGTATCACGGCAAAATGAAGAAGAGTCGTGGCATTTGCAACCTTGGGATGAAGAACATGAGGAAGACGAAAATGAACACATGACTTAATAAGAGTATAAAAATTATCCATCCCACCAAACAGTTGATACTTAAAATTCGTGAAATGTTGGATTTATCAGACGAACTAGAATATATTTTGAGACATTATCTTACAAAATATCATGAAACATAATCTAAGTGATGTTCGTCACATATAGTATCTTTAAGTCTGTCGCCAAAAGAAAGAATCAGCCACGCTCTATATCCTGTTTTTGTTAGGCTTGATGAGTAAATATTGCTGGCAGTTTATTCTCATCCCAGACCAGCGAGGATATTTATAACGCAAGAACATTTGCATTGAAAAATATATATAATGGTTACAGGTTTGGAGAGCAAAAAATGATATACCGTCAGCTTGACGACATCAAAGATTCGTTTCATGACAGCAAAAGCAAATCTAAAAGGGAGATAATTATAGTCATACATATCATTTTTCAATATTTAGATAGCGCGTCCTCTTTAAAATGACTCTTCGACAATCCAGTATGTAATTGGTATATATAGCGACATATACTGTCCTCGCTGTGCTTTTCAAATGTTATGCTATTACATATACTTAAACATGGAATGAGAAACATTCATTTTTAGACATTGTAATGCCAGATATTTTGTATTGTTGTTTCTTAAATCTAACACAAAAATCAATATATTCCATAATAAATTTTCTATCCAGGAGATTATTCGTGGTCATGTTATATTTGTCTTGAGCATTGAATCTTGCTACGCTATAAAAGTATACATGTCTCGAAACCTTTGTTCTGTCTACCATCATCTTCCTTCAAATTTAAGATGACTAACTCCACAAACTCCCCTAGATATTATTAAATATGTTTATTATACCTAACGTATGAGTTCAGTTATTCTTTGTCATCGATAACATTTCGTTATAGCCAAAAACACAAATACACAGATAGAAAAGAGCAGGAATAAAAGAAAGATGTCCGAAATAGTATTCTTTTTAAAATGCCTGAACAAAAATAGACCTAAAAAACAGGCGCATAAAAAAGTACTTATAAAATAATGGGCCGTAGAAAATAAAAGTGCATATACATAGAAAATAATAAAAGCAAAGCCATTAACGCGCACCCTGTAATCTTCCTTTTTTGGGATATCCGCACCCGACTCTGGCAGCTGAGACTTAAATATTTGGGTGTGGATATTTTTTTTCCACACCCATAATATTTTTCCACGCCCGTATTTTTTTAGCGCTGATTGCACACCCATATACTACACTTGAATTTTGTATCCGAGCCAAATAACGTACATCAAAAAGCTCCAAATATCAGAAATTAAGTGGGAGAGAAGTGCTTGTCTTTTTTTCTGCCTTGGGAATCGAATTAGATAGGTGTCTGAATGACTGGGAATCGAAAAATCTTAAGAATTAAGTGGACTGTGAATCGAAAGTCTTACAAATTAAGTGGAAATCAACTTAGTTAAAAAAAAAAAGATAGGATGTAGTTTTTATTCTGTGTTTGAGGTTGAAGAAAGAACTAAAGGTTTACCCAAGAGGCCAAGAAAAGAGACACAATTTGATCTGACACTGGCGTATATGTAATCATTCGCAGCAAAACAACGGCGAAGAAGCTTCATAGCTTAACCATTATGATTCTACGACATGTTCCGAGGCTGTTACTTTTTAACATTTACAACTTCTTCTGTAGTCTTGTATCTATTTATAGGAAATACAGGAAGAGGTTCCTGTACAGCATAGGTCGTGTCATTTAAATCAAACACGTTTCGATTGTCGGTGTTCATTTCTAAATCTGATAATATCCGTACCAATATGGGCTTTTTTTTTCGTATAAAGCTTCATATAAATTCACGTAAAACTTACAAATTAAACAGATATCATCAATGTTTATTTTATGGATTTAGAAAAGGAATTTGTTTTATGCCAATTGAATTACTGGGTGTGGATTAAATTTTTGGGTATGGAAACAGTAAGAGTCGGGAGCCGGGTGTGGAATAAGTTTTTTGAAATACAAATACGTAGAAAATAAAAGTACGTAGGTCACGTGTGTTTTTTAAAAAACACGGGCCGTGTAACCATAGTTGGGCCATTTCATTAAAATATCATTTAATTCATCTGATTTTGCATTTAATTCATAAAAATTTGGGTGCCCTTGGGCACCCAAATTTTTGGATTTTAGAAGGGTTTACTTAATTTTTTACGTGTAAAGTTCCATTTGTTTTTTACGAGATTTATTGAAGTGATTTAAGGGAAATATCATGATTTATTTGTAATTAGGTATTAGTGATTTGGGTTTGTAGCCAATAATGACGGGTAGCAATTCCAGCATACATTATCAGCTACATTTATAAATTTAAACAAGGCAAAGGCTGTACAAAATCTTTCTTCCCAGTTTTTGGTTGTTTAACGTGTCTACCTGTACAGCTTTCTTGTCTGCATCGTCCGCATTTGTTACTGCACAGAGAACCTTTGGAACTTCCAGGACAGTTATCTACCATGCATACCACACATACTCTTTTCCGTTTTCTGTTATTTGATAGATTGATTACTTCAGCTGTAACGTGGCGTGAAAGTGGTATTGTAAGAGGGGTGGCACCCGGGATATGTCTGGAGCGATATGCAGGGCGTATCATCTGTAATTGAGGTGATGGTGGGTTGATTGTACCAAGTGGAAAATGTTGCTCTATAGGGGGTATTGGTTTGGGTAATGCAGGTATTGATCTTATAAACCTGGATGGGGATTCAGCAAGTACTCGAACACTTTGTGATATTTCAATATTTTTGAGAACAGTATTTCCGTATTTTTTCCTGTCTTCTAAAATGTTAAAATATGATTTTAAATGCCCTGGTGTCTTGTAATAAATATTGGTATCATGTTGGCAATGTTTAGAGTTCCATGTTAAAGCGAAAAGCTCGAAATTTGGTTTTTCCGAATCAAAAGGTTGGTATATAGATGTACTCTCTTGGCCTTGGGTATTAATTAGAGTTTCAAAAAGACATACTTCTTCCTTTGTATGAACAGCAGTTACAGCATACAAGGTGCCTTGACAATTCGATAGATATTTGTATTTGAACTTGTTAGCGGAATAACCAATTTTCGGAAGCTCTACCACAGGCAAAGAAGCAAGTTCTGTCATCCGACCTTTTGTTATTTTAACTTTTTTTGGAGCAAGAGATTCAGTAGGCCTAATTCCAATTGAGTTGCCAAATGTTCTGGGTATATCGACGACACCAAAAGTTTCATTGGTCTGTTCAAAATTCAAGTAACTCCCATAGCGTTCACAGGTATAATTCATAACGGTATCGTGACCTACTTCAGCTCTTAATAAATTTATAGCCAGTACAAGCCAAGGACTATAATGGCCTTGATGCTTTTTACCGTATCTGTTAATTGATCCAACCTATGATGATGTATAACTTTCAGTTTATGAAATATTTTTTAAATCATTTATTACTTACATTGAGGTTATGATATAACCGGTAGTCGGCTAAAATTGAGTCGGTCAATCTAACTGATGCATTGTAAGAAGCAAACCTTCGAACAATGTTCATATGGCATGCTCCTTCAACCGAGCTTGTTCCTCTGGAGCATTTATATGTCATGAGATTGTTTTTGTCCAAGCCTTTTTCGGTATATAATGGAGGCCCATTAACAACGTCTGAGACATGCCCTTGCTTCACCGAATCCAAAACATGCAGGGACATGGCAACAGCTGCGTCATTGAAGAGTTTAAGGCCGGAATGCTCACACCTGAGAGGACCGTAGCTTTCAAAAAGGAATTTCAAGGCGGGGTATAATTCTTCGGCTGGGGGTATATGCCTTCTTACACGTTCGAATATCCAAGCAGGGTTTACCAACATCCGTGTCTTCCAGTCCGTACCAATACTTTCAAGATAACTTTCTACTAAAGCTTTATCCTCTTGGTCACATACATACATGATGTCACGGAAACGACGCATGAAGTCTTTTTGCATTCCATGAGACTTATTAATTTTGATCATGTCCATAATATGAAATCCATCTTTTAAAACACGGGAGTCGACAGAATTCTTATTGGTATTGATTGGTGAATAAGTGGTATCGCTGCTAATGGGTGGTATTTGTATGATTGGGGTATTAGAAGTATCAAAAACTACATTATGTACTCTTTCTGAAGCTGTAAACAGATATTTGCATTTGATATAAACAGTGAAGGGTATATTATGGAAATCACCTAAGGTCAGACCCTCATTGTAACACTCCAAAGGGTATCCAGGAATAGTTATTTTCACAACTTTTACAATAAGTGCACTGTTGGTATGAAGTGCTTCATGGGTATTATTTGTAGGAGGGGTATCATCATTGCATATATAGCCGTATCCAGCAACAGAGGACGAGGCAGATTTGTCCAAATGAATTGCAATAAAAGAACCGGCTGTTGTGTTGACAGTTACTTTCTGATGAACTGTGGGCATATGTTTGTATCTGGTATAAATTTCGTATGACACCCAAGCGTCCAAAGCTGCATAATTTATTTGCTCTTCTGAAAGGATTGGGGCTTCCCAATTGCCACAACGAACAAAATTTGTCTTGGGTAACTGCACCTTCAGAACAAGCCCACATATATCGGCCAAAGATGTATTTCTTCTTTCAATGAGATCCTTATCTTTGCAAAAGGTACCAAGTTCCAGTTGACCAGGGCATTGTTGGAGACCAAAATATCGAAATCTTGTAAGATCACCGCTGACGTTTTTTCCGATTTTGGCTATTTTAGTATCAGTGAGGATCTTGATTAAATTTTCAGGTAGATTGTCTGAGGCGAATGAGTGTATTCTCATCAAGTAGACAGAATTACCGTAAGCGATTTGCACCAAAGCAACAGGAACGAACTTCAAACCAGACTGCTCACTGATGGAAATTGCTGATCTTTTACCTCTTACAGCCCATTCGCAGTCAAATCCAATGGCAATTGTACCCTGCTGTAAACATTCGTCAAGAAGTTTTTGGCATGATTGATTAATGTCGATAGTAGTACTTAAAATTGATACCGTTATGTTA